TAACATCCTCGGGCACTGCGGGGTAATCTCTGAATAAAAAATAAATAAAGATCGCGCACCTGCATCACGCTGGCATAAACATAAGAAAGCATGTTATTCACTTCTATAGCGTTTGTCTCGTTTGCGCTTTATGTTGAAACAAATTGTCGGCGAGCGGCTGATGGAACACATGTCAGAATAACCGTGACTTGCGCTTAACACTTTCGGACGGAACTTGAAGGCGCAAGGAGTGCCGTCGTACGGCACCCCAGACACGGCGCACGAAAATAGTGATTATGCCTTTATCGATACCATATTTTCGATTTATGTGGAAAAAGTATACGCTCGTTTCCGAAAACAGCAAGAAACGATCGTTCGCACGTTCCAATTTTCGCTTGATTGACCCTGTAAGTGTGACGTCACCGCTCCAAACAAACCGTTGCTAGGGGCGTTGTTAGGGACGAGTACGTGGGTTGGATTCCGTCCCGAAAGAACGATCGGTCAAAAATCGGGCGTAGGATTTAAACGTCCAAAAATAACAGATAAAGGAAGCCTAGCTTTCACACTTCCAACGACAAAAGTTTGCCGAGAATCGGATGTTTCTGAAATATTTGCGACGGCAAATTCCGGTCCTCGAGATGCCTGTTGCAGACGACGAACACATGACGAACGCACACGGAATGACTGAAGTATGCCGTCTGCAACTGTTAGAATCGTTTGCACGATGATACGATTATGATTTTGTATTTCTTTGGAACATGGCGGGTCTAAGAGAACTAACAAGCTTTATAAAAAAAAAACGAAATGTATTTGCGTGCGATATGAGATAGTGTCTGACGAAAATCACCACACACATGGAGATCTGCTAAAAATATAGCGAAAAAAGGGTCTGCTTCGAACATGATATCGAAGCAACGTCGGGCCCATATTCTGATTGTGCAGTTAACGTGCGTTGTAATGAAAGAGCAATTATTCTGACTCTATACATGAGCGGTTCGAGACCCCAAACTTTGTTTTTCATACTCGCAATATGAGTGTGTGGTTCGTACCTGCATTGTAATCATCAAACTGAGAAAAAATCTTACTGATTCTTCAGAATTAAGGCAAACCCCAAGCGTGCATGACTGAGGAGGAACGCTTCTTCGAGCCTCTAAAAGATAAGGAGGCCAAAACCACATTGCCTAGTCAGTCCCGCAAGTGGGCTCATTTTCTTGAATGACGAATGGCTTGCACCTTGGCTTGCACCTTTGCATTTAATTGCATCATAATCATTTTCTTCTTCTGCGCTTGAGAAAGGAAGCAGCGGTGACGTCAGAACGCCGAGCCCTGATTGGCTGATCGCGACCCCCTATCTGAGCGTCGTCTGCTCGCAACCCCCTCCGCAAGGAGCAGACGAACTTGTTCTCCGCATAGCTCACTAACGAACATTCTAGGTCGAATTAGGGTGCCTACATGTTTCCGCCGCTCCGCTGTAACATGTAGGCACCCTAGGTCGAATGCTCGAGATGCGGAGTGTAGTAGGCAAGGAGCCGAGCGCGGCTTTGTTGACTCACATACAGCTGTCACGACGACGTATCGTCGCTAGCTGCTGCCGCCGTCGAAGCTCATCCTTCTTTTTTTTTTTTTTTTGCATTTGTTTTTACAATTTCGCGGATTAAATCATTTTCTGTTTTACGCGTTCGATCCGTTTCCATCTGCGACAATAGGGAATCGTAGCAGACCGTTTTTCTCCTCCGCCACGGTATCGGTGAAGAAAACACCGCAGTTGCGCATGCGCGCCGCCAGCCTTGTCTGCATAGTTCAAGGTCTCGTGGCGGATTACGGAGCGCTATCCGGGTGCTTCTAACGGACAGTTTGTTTGATCACGCAGATGAGCACTGAAGCAACTGTGCTGTCAGAAATGCTTGAAACGTATGCTGGCCTGCACTTCGACCTTGATACACGTCACGTCGCCGTAGTCGTCGTACGTGATTCGGCTTTACATTACACAGTTTTAGTGGACTGTACGCTATAGTTTTACGTACGCAAGGAAATTGCGGGTCGTGAGCGCGCATGCGCAGAACGCAATAGAAGACCTAGCGTATTGCGTACGCACGCAACGCTGGGGATCTTGCGTTGCGGGCTAGCGGGACGCTCTCGAGAGATCTCGGGAGATCTCGGGCCCAACGAGAGCGCCAGTTTCAAGATGGCGGTTACCTCGACTCAACGTTACTAAAACACTCAGTTGGGAAACTCGCCGTCGAAACCTGGGCCGCTGGCGTCCACCGAGACCGAGCTAAATGCGACAACAGCGCCACTCTTTTTCGTTTGTCTGTACTATGGTCACCTCGAGCTTTTTGAAAGCCTGTTTTTTGCGTAAAAACAAACGGAAAAGACTCTTTTTGTATGAAATTTATTGGAGTTTAGTACCAAATGATGGGCGCGTGATGTTTTTATCATCTTTAGTTCGCAAGGTTTTGCGGAACAATTAGTATTGTTTTCATACAACCATGCCTCAGCGGGCCTTTCAGGTAGCGCGTCCCGACCTAGGTGCATTTTAACTTCAGTAGTTCAACGCGGCGCGTCCGCCGGGGAGACGGGAGTGGCACCTCTTAAAGCCAAAATAGAAGTCACGTGCAGTTCCTCGAGTGGCCGCTGCGGGAGAAATGGTGGCGTTGTGTTCGTCATTAGCTCGGTGCTCGGAGACAGATTGGCGCCACTTTTTCAAAGCTGTCTCTATGGGAGTTTCCCAACTGAGTGTTTTAGTAACGTTGCCTCGACTGGCGCAGCAAGGGCGACAGGGTATTCGCGAAGTACAGTGTTACGTGAAATTGTGTGGTGTTCAGCTCGGCAATTCCGGGACCTACTGCGGTCGAATCAGATCGGCGGGCAGCTGAAGGAGTGCAGAGTGAAACTGTTCACCGCCCGCAATGTGCATCAACGCTGCGATCTGCTCAACGCTAAGCCTATTCGCACAGTTCATCGCCGACGGACGAGCTTCAAGAAATCGCCGAAGTGGTCGCTATGCGCTGGACATCAGTAGGTCATGGATCATTTCATTCGGCGATAGCATTGATGAAAGGTGCCGTTTCCACGGGACCTTTGACAGACACTCCGTGATCTAATTTGGCTACGCGCACTCGTACTCGTAGCCTCTGTACCCTGGAGAAAAGCTCGCTTGACGAGGCAGCTGCAGCTTGGTTTAATTTGAAATAAAATGATTGGACAGGTTATCATTTTCAATCTTTTTTTATTTTTTAGAGCGCAGCTCTTAAGCGCGAAACACATGTACGACGAAACCGTCCGAACCGACGTCCGATCGCGCAATACGACGGTCGGAGGCGAGGGTTTTCAACGCTCTCCGATGCTACGAACACCCTCTCCCCCCAAGGTCATTCCGGCAGTCCGCACGTCGGATCGGAAGGTTTTCGTCGTACGTGTGTTTCGCGCTTTAGGCGCTCCTTTCCGGCATGAGCGGCGTCGGCGTCGCCGTAACAGTGCGGTGCATGATGAGTAAATTTCCCCGCTAAATTTAGTGGAAAATTTTCCCCGCTTAATCTAGCGGAAAAATTCTCCACTAAATTTAGCGGAAAAATTTCCCCGCCACATTTAGCGGAAAATTTTACCCGCCAACTTTAGCGGAAAAAATTTCCCGCTAAATCTAGCGAAAAATTCCCCGCTAGATCTAGCGGAAAAACAGTTCCGCTAAATTTAGCGGAAAAATTTTCCCTAAATGGGAGGCAAGCAGGAGAAGAGGAGAGTCATAGCTGCCCCCTAATCCGGCGTTACAGGTAGTTGTAAACGGATTTCATTTATTATTTATTTATTTATTATTATTATTATTTTTTTTTTTTTTGCGAGGAGCATGGTGGCTTTATGAGCACGCGGAATTCTACGGCTCGGACAAATTTAGCCAAGATCATGCTAGGTGTCTTGTTTTGTCGATCGTCACCTCCTCATTCAACGCGGTCGTGTTCTCCCTCAGAAAGAACCACCGAACCCGCGAAGCCATTCTGTCGTCTACTAGCAAGGCAAAACCGGTCGTGAAACTTCGTTACCATCGCTCCATGGTACCGGGACGATAGAAAAGAGCCTTCATGATTAGATACTGAGAGGACACAATGCTTACAAAAAGTGTTTTTACTTTTTTTATCAGACAATTTCTAACCTCACGTGGAGCATGCATCTCTCCATAACAACGGCCTTAGCAACGGTTTATTCGGTGCGGAGTGCCGTGTCGCGACGTCATCACTTTCGAGGTCCATTTTCGGTTGGTTATAAGGACATAACATCGTATCGTTACCGGGTAGCGGTACCGAAGTTATCGAACCGATCCATAAAACTCTCTACGTCTTCTACCTAACCGAAAATCGGTTGGTTGGAAATTCAAAGACGGGGTGAACGTTGAACCCGATTTTATGTAATTTCCCATTGCACAACGATGCGCCTCCTCCAGCAAAAGTGCCATTACCTCAGTCACGCGTTGTTGTATACCTCCTGCAACGCGGGGCAGCTATCGTTTTCACCCGCATGTTTTACGCATTGTTCATACGCCGCGCGAGGTTGTTAGAGTAAGAAGCGATTCTTATGGCGTTTGAAGTGTGTACGTGTTGATAAGATAACATTTATCTAATCTACAATGCACCTACACATATCTTAATTCTCTACATAAAGTAATGCTCCGCGAGAAGCAGGAATTTTTTTACTACGGTTCTTGAGGGTTTCTCGCTCGTTTTGAAAACGAAAGCAAGTCAGCAAGCAGGCTGAGGAGGCCTATTGCCAATGGAGGCTAGCCAATCGCCGAAATCTACGGCGCAGAAAGTGGGCTCCGTCTGCAGTTGGAGGAAATCCCAAGAGAGGTACTACATTTAAACCAGCCTTACGAGCTTAGAACTTTCTGAGGAAATTCTCTGTCAACGTTTCCCAGAAACAATTGACAAAGGACATACTTTTCTCGCCGGAAAACAACGTTGTGCAAACAACCAGACCTAAAGACATACCAATAAAAGAGGCAGGAAAAAAAAAAAAAGTAAGATTCTTACTCGTTTTGCCCGTTCCTCGTTGACTTTCCTTCCTCCTTTCATTGTCTCCTCGCTGACGTAGAGGCACTCGAGCTTTCGGTCCACGATGGTAGGTCCGTAAGGGTCATAGATGGGCACCACGTCATAGTGGACTGTGGGGTCTACTTCTTGGAGGAATTCTAATAGGGCTTGAATGCGCACATTCAGCGGCTCTATCAACTCCCATAATAACTTGCCTGCAAAAAAATAAAATAAAAACAAGAACAATTGGACATAACCGAAAGCATAAATACAAGGACGGTCAAAATGACACATCTTCTGCTGCAATATGTGTAGTGTTGCCAGTCCTTGTGTTCTTACCTAACTGTAACCATTGTGCACACCTTTGCAATACTTAAAAATACTTAAGCGCTGATCAGCTAATAACACACATTGTAGCAACGTTTTGAAGCTCGTTATATTATTAGAGAACATATTAGAGAATATTAGAGAACGGAAAAAACATGGAGGCAAGAGAAACAGTGGTAAGCATCTCCTAGTGTTTGTGTGTCCCCATTGTGGTGTTTTTCAATGCCTACACGTTGTCATACCAAATACGATTTTCTTGGACTGTCAAAGATAATCCAGTTAATAATTTTATCGATAATTTCCCATAAAAAAAAAAATACGGGCACGAAGACATCAACATACTTCACGTGTGATGATAATAATCCCTGAAGAAGGGTTTGTTCCCCTTCTCCAGGGATTAGTATTGTCATCCTTGTCCAGCTCGCTTGCACCTTTGCAATAAATGCAGGCCTTTCACCCTTGTTGGTGTTAGACTGGTGACAGCTGGGAAAACCCTTTTTGCTCTACTGACGTCTAACCCTGGTTAGCTCAGTTGGTAGAGCGCTCCACTGGAAATGAAGAGGTCCCTGGTTTGATACCAGGATCAGGTCGATTTTTTCGGTCACTCACCAGTCACCTAGCTGTGTTTGGAGATTTGTGTTTGCCCTTTGCCCCCCTTGTTCCCCTTCTCTGGGGATTATTATCGTCATTCTTGTCCAGCTCGCTTGCACCTTTGCAATAATTGCATATAAGTAACACTTTACATCATAATGAAGTATAATTGATGACATTTCGGTTAGGTTTTACGACTTTTACGGCCGATACTGCAGAAAATAAACCTCTGCAGAGGGAGGGGACACTTGCAGAACTTGCCTTTCAGCATGTCTCCATCAGTAACTCCAACGACCAACTTGCCCGACGCGTGTAGCACGGCTTCCGAGAGCAACACTTTGTGACCCAGGTGTAGTCGATCGAACGTTCCCCCCAGACAAACACTTTCGTAGATTTGAAACGAGGCAGCGTCTGTCGAGATGCCGTTACTGCCATGGCTGAAGCCGTTCATAAAGCCAGCTGTCGCTTCTTCGCCCTTGTCCGGAAGGAGGTTCAGCTTGCCCCCCAGATGCTGGAAGTTGGAGCACGTCTTGTCGAACTGATGGCCCACGTACTGCTCCAAGTCGGACGAGGCATGGCTGCCGTCCGTAAGCACCACATCGAAGGCTGACTTGAGGTGGGTTTCCTTCAGGGCCGCGTCTTTGAAGCAACCCTGGAGAACGCGCACGTCCAAGTGAGCGCACAGACCGGCCGCCTTGAAGTAGATGTCCGGGATGAGCTTGCGGAGTTGGGACAGCTCGTGCGGCGTGAACACGGGCTGTTGAATGGGCCAGAGCTGGTGCCTGTTGGGCTCCAGCTTGATGTATAGTGTCTTATTGACGATGCTCTTGGCGGCCTTGAGGTAGGCACCCACGTTGGAGGTCAAGAGTCGCGGGGATGAAGTCAGGATGAGGAGCCCCGTTTGAAACATGCTGCTGGTTTTCGTGGGTGCTTCTTGACCTGGATTAGGCAGATATGAGAAGAGCAAACACGATCAGCACGATTTTTGAATACACGTGAAAGGCCGCGAAACCAGCCACTCCTTGTACATTTCGTCTCATCGTGAAAGGGGTGGACTTGATGGTAACCTACATGAAAGGGGTATATGCCGCCGATGGACGATAGCAGCAGCTTCAATTTTCTGGCTCCCCGAGCGAAGGGCTAAATACAGGGCTTCCGGGAACCCGCTCGGCTTTAAAAATGCATGACACGAAGCCGACGTCGTTCCGACGGAGCGAACGGCTTGTGCTGGCGCAATGAGCGAATATTACGCAACCAAACCGCTAGACCGCTCGCGAAAGTTCATCGGACGAGAAAGAACGAGAACCGCGCCGCACTTACGATCGTTCCTGTTTGTTCGTTTCTTTTTTCTCCTAGCTGCGTCGTAGTTCTCGGACGTGGCGGATGCTTTGGTCCAGTTTCAGCGGCACGTCCCCACGAGGAAACATAGACGACGGCAGTCCCCGATTCAAATCAGAGAGACGACGACAGCAACACAGCAGCGGCGGCATGGTGGCATCATTTTCGAAACGAAAGGAGAGAGTTACGCTCTTCTCTCTTTTCTCGTGGGAGGAGGATGGAAAACACCCACGTGTTCCTCGGGGTTCCGCCGACGGAAACGCCCTCTCGTTTCGCAGCGCCGAAGTTGCCGTCCGTCGTCGTCGGTCGGGTTGCTCGCACGAAGTGTTTGGTTGATGAGGGGACGCCGCTGACGCCGCTGTGATGCCTTTATTTCTGTGCTTGGGTTCTTGTTAGCACTTTTTTGATGTGGCGGGTGAGATGGTCAACAGACAAATCTTTGATGAGGTAAGCAGCACCTGTCGCGCCTGCCGGTCCGCGGACATCGGCTCTCCGGACAGATGTCTCGTATTAGGCTTAAACGCTGAAATTCACAGGCACGTGGCTCTTTTTCGAGCCTTCCTGGCACTTTGATGGGTGCGGACGGTCGTTTTTCGAACGCTCCCGACGTTCAAGTTCAGCCTGTAACATTTGTCGTGACTTTGGGCGTCCGAATCGTGCTGGTGTCGGGTAATGATCGACGATTGCTCTGCTGCTGTTCTCGGGCCAGCTCTGGATCGTCGACATGCTCTTGGATAACAGAGATATATCTGCGCTTGTGCTTCTTGAAGATTCTCCGTTTTTCTTGCCTTTTATATAGTAGCTTGATGATAAGAACGAATGACGTGCCAATTTACTGGCATCCAAGCCAGTCGAGAATGTTGCAATCAACAGCAAGCACCGCGAGCATTGCCCTGCGAAACAGCAGCTTCGTTCGCTATCTTAAATCCTCTAGGGTCTGTTGTCACGGGCTATCATTCGGGAGACTGTAGGCCCATAAATGCGCTTGGACTCGTCGATGCGTGCTCTAGTCACATTCGGGGGTTATCTCGCTATTTGAATGTATTTCTGGACTAATTTACTGTCTTGGTCCCAAAATTGTCATTGCGCAGGTAGAGCTTGTTCCAGTGTGTTGACGCGGCGGCAACGGTAGTTAAACATTAAAAAAAGATATATGTATATAAAAAAATACTAGGGACACAGGAAGGAACGCATCCGATGGTTGAAAACTACCGTTAGAATCGAAGCTCGCATTGGAGCGCGCCCAGCTGCGGCCTGCCCAAGGTTTTGGCCTGAACACCCTCATGCAGAGATTGGGAAAAAAAAAAGAGAAAAATAAAAGAAAAACCGGCCGTAAGACGTTTGGAGTGACGAAACATTACAGTTCACCGCTGAATTGGTACAATTAGGTCTATAGGTTTGTGTATGGCACGAATAACCTGTTTTCCGCTGCCAGCCGCATGTTAAAAGATGAAAAAAAAAAAAAAAAATCGAAATCTTGTTTTTAGTTTTAGTTTGTTTCCTCCTGAATATGCTGATAAAACTGGCAGTATGCCCCCACTTTTATTTTCCTAGTATTTCTCATTTCTGTGTTTTTTTTTTCCCAATTCTGCTCGAGTGCATTGAGTTCAATGGGACTGTTGGGGTTAGTTGACGGTTTTGTTTTGTTACAACGATTCCACCAGCTTGCCTGCGCACTGACTAATTTTGTTTCATTGTCATAGCACGTTTCCTGTCGCAGTTCAAAAAGCTTATGATTTTTTTCTTCTAGCCTGCAGCCTACTATATATGTTCACGGGTTGGAGTCGTTTTTCAGCATAATTTAAAGCGTTACTAGTAATCCATGTTCACGGATTTTGGAAACAACGGGCTTGTTACATTTGCCTGCACCGGTGCGGAAAAGTGTAGCGCGATGTAGAAAAGTGCAGGGTAATGTATTTCCGGTTGTGTTTTCAAATAGGCTGCACTTATATATCGAATACAGGGATGCGCACCGAGTGCAGCTGATTGATGGTAGTGGCTATGGTAATGTTAGATCGAACGAGCACAATGGCGCTTCGGAACGGCAGTTGTGGTTCCGAATATTAAATTTGCAAGATCAACGCTTGCCTCGTTCTCGCTCTTAACGAAGGCAAATGTTGAACCATAATTCCACTAATTGCTGATGCGTGGACAGTTAATTATGTGCATATCTAATAACCAACCGTAACGCTCAAGACACTTTCACCATTGAAATATGTTAATGGAAAGTTAAGGGTTGACGTAACTAGAGTGAGAAAGCATACCTGACAAGTAGCCTGAATTCTTTAAGCTTTACACACTTATACCTCGTTTTATGATATTACATATTTGGCAAAATCTGGAAGGTTTTCCTGATATGAAAGGTGACAACCGTGTAATTTGTACAGAATGCCTATTCACTGCATTCCTTGTTGATCATAACTTGAGCGTTCGTCATCATGCTGGATTGCTCGCTTTTTCATAAAATCTTTATGAAGAGTGATAAAGCAAACCGTCATGAATATTTGCTATAAACAAAATCTTTATGTTGTGCCGTGAGAGTTTTACAATTTTGGGTTCCATAGGTTGGGAGTTTTATCATTTTTAAGAAGACCCATTTCTCCAAAAGCACCATCTGTTATCTTTTCCTCTATGTGACAAGGGATGAAAACATCAAACAAATGGGCAGGATAATAGAGAATGTTGCCCCCTTCATTTCTGGGAAAAATATTACAACTACTCAATCGCAGAGAAAGAATGCGCTTGCTCAATTTTTGCATAGTTTTAGCAGTATTGTCATAAAAATGCTTCACAACAATGTTTTGTACGTTAGGTAGAGGTTAACTGTTGTCATTAAAAGCGCTCGCCAGGTGGTGCAAGCCACTGTTCGATCTAAAAAGCTTGGCTGTGTGCGTGATTTAAGCTATCCTGGACTCCTAGTGACTTTCACTCGTAAGGGCTGTAGCAATGCCATCTAGACACAAGGCTTTTGCACTGTACCCTTTCCATAGCACTAAAAGTAACACAGTGTCTGGGTACGGCCTGGGTATTGGCTGTGCCAACAAGGTTGCATGACAATGGCAGCAAGGGAAAGGGGAGCAGATGAGCAGCCATGATGCACGTTATCGGACCCCTAAGGCAGGTTTACAGAGGGCGAGAACACAAGCCAGATAGAGTGAGAACGCACTAGAAGGGACACTGGCGCCATCTATCCAGGTTGACCAGACATCCTGTTTTGGCCGGGCAGTCCTGTTTAAGAGGGTAGTTCCTGCCGTTCCATCATTTTGTTTTACAGAAGCAAGATATCCCGTTTTTGTGGGGACTTGCTCGAGAAATCGGTACCGAGTAATTGGAAGAAAACAGAGAATTCTTACTCGTTACATTTTTTATAAACACAAACATGCTGTAAGAATGTTAGCCTCCCTTAGAGTACAGTTTAGAGCTGTTTCTGTGCTTCCATCTGCTGATGTGTTTTGTCCTAACAGATGGGCATGCTTTGGTATTCTAAAGTAGGTAAGAAAAATGTTAGTGCGTGCAGTTTACTCAAAGCCATGGGTGGTGGAAAGAAGAGAAGTGGAAAGAGAGAAGTAGAGAGAAAGAGGAGAGCCACTTTTGTGCGAATATTGAGTGACGGAATAATGTCCGGAGGGGTAAAAAGCGACATGGGTCTATGCAAAAGAGAGTTTGGGTAAGAGGGAGGCATCTCCTTGCCCTCCTCCAATTGCTTGGGTTATGCTCTCACACTTCTATATTTAGTAGCCCTCCGTGTAACTAGTAAGATAGAGTACAGGGTTCCGTGTTCTCAGATAAATTCAATGAAATCTGAAAAACTCGCCACTTCAAAGTTATGATTTAAAAAAAATATAAAGAAAGAAAAAAAAGAGGCAGTAAGTTTGGTTAGAGCACAGGGTCAGCGGTCCTGTGGGGAGGCCATTTCGTTTCAAATTTGGGACTGTTGACTAAAGCAAGTTTGCCGTATATTTCGTCAAGGTTCATTTAGGACAAAGAATCATTGCACTTGTGGGTCACAACAAAAGCCTCTGTCCTGGTTTTCATTTTGGACCATATGCTATGTATGCTTCTTAAGAAGCCACTGAAAAGAAAGAAAAAAGTTTCTTTTAAGCAGTCTGGTTGGGGGACGCGTGTCAAAAAATAAAATTTATGCAAAAAAAAAAAATTTTTCTTTAGAGCAATATTGAAGGTGCGAGACGCGATTTAGTTGGCAGTCACCTCCTTTCCACTTGTTTTCTCTCCCGGCATGGCGGGCGCGTAGAGGAGAGGTGGATTGGTTTGGCCATCACATAAAAGTGGGGAGTGTGTGACCATCTTGTTGAAGTGGAAAGAGTATGACCATTCCGTGAGGTCATAGACTTTGCACGCAGAATTTAAAATAAATCTCACGCCATCAATGTTGCTCTGAGGATTTTTTTTTTTTCATGTGAAATTAATTTCTTGAGCTTTGTGTCCCAACCAGACTGTATAGAAAAACATTCTATTTTCCTTTCAGTGGCCCTTTAAAAAAAAGGGTTTGTGTTTTTATAAAAAAAGATATGAACCCATACATTTCGTAGGGTGCAGGGCAATGAAGCTTCGACGCTTCCCAGTGACTAGGTCCAGGGGTGAATTTAGGGTATGTTTGTGTTTGGAGATTATTTACTCTAATTAAAAATTTGAGACTATAGAAACATGGCAAAATTAAACTCCTGCTTTCATAAAATCGGGAATGTAGCAAGAAAAAAAAAAGAAAGACTCCAATAAGCCACAAATTTTTGGCAAAAAATAAACTCGCAAAAACATCCTTCGAATTTTATGAAAAAGAAACTCTGAGAATGTGGAACCCTACTTATGACATTGTTGCAATTATTTCAAGTGCATGGTGAAAGAACATTGCAGAAAACATACACAGATCGGAGGTGTTTCGGGGCTATGCGGGGGGAAAGTTTGTCTGCTTCTTGCACAGGGGTTGCAATAATGTCAGAATGCCGAGCTCTTATTGGATGACCGAAAAAAAAAATAGTGGGTAGACCTCAAGGCACCTAGCCATTGAGGTCTATCCACTATCCTTTCAATCAAAGCCAATCGGAGCTTGGCATCTTCCTGTTGTCGCCGCAACTTCTGCGCGGGAAGCAGACGACTTTCTCTCTGCATTGATTGCCCGGGCGTCTTCTTTCGTTGTAAACAGTCACAAGCGGTTGAAACATTGTCAATCACCCTCGAGCAGAAATGTGTTAGCCAGCTTTCAGCATATATCCAATAGGCTAAGCAAAACCAGATGACAAGGAGACCATTTTGAGGACATGAGAGACCGAAGACATTCCACAGTGAGGTTCCACCTAACCAGGAAGCTACACCTATGAGAGTTCCATTCCACAGCTAAGTTCCACTGGCCTTCACTGTGATGCCACGACAGTGAGCTGGCCTTGTCAATATCTGCAGTCGGTGGCAGACTAAGAATTTGGTAGAAGCTCTACCTACAGCATGTGTGTGTGACAAAAGGTTATGAAAAGCAGAAAGCTTGTGCTGGAGGTGGAGCATCTACCGAATTCTTAACATGACGTCATTGTTACTGAAACAACTCATTTGGGAAGCCCCCATGGGAATCTCCTTCAAAGAACTGGCTCTTGCCCATGCTCCGGCCCCCAAGTTGACAAGATCGTAGCGCCACCCTTTTTTGCTCGGCACACACTGCAGAAGCCATACACACGGGCTGAAAAGAACAAGAAACAAAAAAAAAATCTTGCCTGTGTCCGCAAAGTGAACTTTTGCCGACCCCCTTGTCTCTGAGTCGAATGTTCTGGCAACATCCAGCGAGTCTAGTCCAGACCACGAGGCCAGTGGTAACCTGGCTGAGCCGTGCTCTCTTCTCTTCCGAATCCCGGCGAGACAGCCTCACCTGGTGCAAGCAGTGTTCAAGGGCGACGTGGACGAGGTCGAGGAGCTGCTGTCGAATGGATCGCCCGAGGAGGTCAACTACCAGGACGCAGAGCGGCGCAGCGTGCTCCACGCGGCCGCCTTCTGCGGCTTCCACCAGGTGGCGGCGCTACTCATCTCCCGGGGGGCGAGGGTCAACGCCAAGGACAACAAGTGGGTCACTCCGCTGCACCGGGCCTGCTCCGTCGGCTACGAGGTGAGTCTCGAATATTAATGCTGAATAGCAGCCGACACAAGAGACTTTGTCTAGCTGAAGAGGAAGAGGTGAAATAAAGGCGAGCGTGTGCAGAATGAACTCGTGAGTTGGAGTAAACGGTCTTTTGTTGGAAGTCATTCGTTCTGTCTTTCGGTATCGGGCTAGAGCGGTGCTTCAAAGCGCAACAGAGTTTTCCAGCGGGATGCGCGGTTCCTTGTTCCGTGCACGTCTACGTTGCACTCGACAGGTGCGGCGATGATTGCGCTTGAGTTATGGGCCCGGCCTGCGGCAGATGGATTGCGTCTCTTCATTTGTGTCACACAAGTACACGTTTCTGCAGCGCGTTCGGGGAAAACCGAGTCTGTTTACCCAGGAAACTGATTACTGGGTTAATCAGGGGTAACGGATCGGAGGGATGCTGGCTTCCCGCAAAAATGATGAACGTTTTTGCACGGACCACTGAAATTTCTCACTCTGCAGAGTCTCGTATTTGCCGAGAAAAACGAGCAGAGGTGAACCTAGCTCGTAAAACTGGAATGGGCACTATGCTGTTGCAATGCACGGGAGTCGCGATGAGCGGCTCCCCACGACAATGCGCTCAAAGTTCTTTCTGCTCTTTAAGAAAAGCATTGATTTTTGAAGGATGGAAGAAGTATTTCTTATCTTAGAAACAAATGGGCATATGACTAATAAGATGCATCAAAATTTAGCCAGTAAGCTGTTCTTTAGAAAGAAACATAAGGTAAGATAATGTGTTGAAATAGTTTTGCAAATTTAATTGTTGAACAAAAAGAGAACAAAAACTGGAAAGTTTGGAGTCTATATGAAAGCATAGTATGAATTTAAAAATTCTAAGTATGCAATGGGCCCCATACCAATGTCATTATACCTGTAAGTAAAAGGAGTCTTACTGATGCTGTCTTTTAATAATTCACCAGCCAGCTAGATAATGTGGTGCCCGTGCCATTCCAAAAAGGCATGCAGTGGTGCACGTCCTGTAGAGCACATTTATTTTCTGCTCGACCTTGGCTTTGTCATAACACTGCCTGTAGTTTCTCCCCTTCTGCAGTTTTTATGACCTGCGGTGCATGTAAAACATGTGCCCCAGCTCAGCCGGGGATGCTAGAATAGCGCTAGCCGACGAGTACCTATCAACATTCCGGGAGTTAAAATTGGATCATCCGACATCATCTATAGTCTTCACTGCTGCTGCCATTCGAAATACAAGCAGCAAAGTTGATCAGATTGCGCGATTGACGCCTCTACACGAGCAAGATGCCATATTTGATAAGTACCATCGCCATGCGCAGATTTGATTTTTGGGATGGTTCTCCACCTTGCGAGAAAGCACAAAACTATGTTTAAAACCGAAAATGTTGTTCTTCGGCTATCTACAACATGGCGCAGTGTGTTCCGGCACGCCAAATACAAATTTTGTCACCGCACGGAAGCCGTTGATCATGTGTGACAGATGGCATATGGGCATGGTAAGAAAGAGTTACATTGATGTGTGTTAGGTGTTTCAGTGGTCATCAGGAACTATGCTTCGTGGATTCCTTAAATTTGAATATGTGCCTCAGATGCCCTCCAGCTTCTAAAATAGTTTGTGCATTATGTTGTTGCTGCATACGACCGTAAAGAAGAGGGTGAGGGCAGCCCTGAACACTCTGTTTGTATGCAGAGGTTTTCGTGCAGAGAAAAGTTTGATATTGAACTGCAAATATTGTTTTCTGCGTAGTTAAGTCCTCGTAGATTCTGTTCCAGTAAGGATCTCAATAAGCGTTGATATGTTGTCAGTGTCCCTTTAAACATGCATGGCAGAGAGCCCCAAGGTACGCTATGATGGTCTGTTAGCTCCGTGTTCTGCTAGATAATATATTCATTTTAAATACTGTCAACCCTCACGGTTTACTGCAGGAACGATAGCTTGTCTGGTGATTATTTGCGAATGCACGGAAAGTTGGGGACATTCTATTGATGTTCAAAAGGTTTTGTTTAAAGTTGCATATATACTGAGCTAAAAAGACTTGTAATGAAATGGCACTGAAGCAAATATGGAAGTGTCTGAAAACTAAGCTTTTTGTCAGTTAGGTTTGTCTTTGATGCCTCAGAACTTAGATATTTTGGGACCCTTCTCAGATACAAGTTTGGCTCTGTTGTTTTGGAGTTACCGGTGAGATTTTTTTTTTTCTCTTCGCTGCAGGATGACGGTATTCACCAGTTGAGACCAGAGACTGTTGATGTAAAGGTGAGAGCAGTTTGATCTATTACTTTTTTGTATTAGACCAAAGGGTCTGACCGAGCATTTTTGCTGTAATTATTATAAAACTTTCTTGTGCTAGTGATCCAGCCATGTCATATTATACTAGAACAAGAAACTTTTTCTGTCAAGCACCTTTATCCAGAATGTGGGTAGGTTTAAAGGGTGTACTTTCTGAAACTTTAATTTCTTGGCAAGAGACAGATTGTTTTTGTTATATCTAATAATAATAATAATAATAATAATAATAATAATCTTTATTAGTGACTGCGAGCTACCATGAAGTATGTGTCAAAATAACAGATTGCTATGTAAAATTGACTGAAATTTTGGTGAATGGATACAGCAAGCCTATCTTTTAAGTTTATATTTTTTTACTCAAATCATTCTGCTAGAATGATCAAATAACTGTTTGCTCTGTGTCAAAAATGAAGAATGAAAACCAATTTATTTTCTGTGGCAAGATGATAACCAATGCAATAAATTCTTTAGAAGGCTTTAAGTACATAGCAATGAAGTATCATTATTATGGCAGTGTAACTGTTACCACATTTTTAGGCATATATTTGGAAATGGCCACTGTTCAGTCTGCCTTTATTGACTTATGCTGCCATAAAAAGTAATACATTTTTGGTTTTATATGTTTGATATTTTAGTGTGACAGTTGTACCAGTAAAACACGAGAGTTCTCTCTACCTCAGTCTAGGCCTAGATATCTGTGGTCCGTCTTACATTCTCGAGCATTCTTTTCACGCCTACTCTGGTTTGCAGTGTAACTAGAGCGTACTTAGCTTTATCGCTGTCTGGCTTTCTGGGAAATGTAGTAGAACATGTCCAAATTTGTTCTACATTAGCCATTTCCAGAGGTTAATTTCCTTCCTCAGGGCAGCCTGATTTTTTATTTATTTATTTATTTATACTGTCAGCTTATTACAGGGCTTTTTGAAGTGTAAAGGTGTAGAGGCAAAACAAAAAGGTCCAGTCATGTATACACAATTTTCATAAGGCCTGAACGAAATAGGGTAATTACTTGCATTTTAGGGGAAACAACTCAAACTCTAGAACAATTTATTTGTTTATTTTATTTATCCACAGTACACAAAGGCCCAATTAAGGGCATTACGTGAGGGGCGGTGGAGTACATTCGGTGATTCAGTGTAGGCATCAATCAGAACAAAATAATAAAAATAGTCAATAAAAAAACTTAAAAAAACATAAAAAAATTTTTTATCTACGAAAACATGTATATAAAAGAAAATGAATATGCAAGTGGAGTTATAATGCTAGCATGCACGACAACAACCTAAGAAGTTATGATTCAAAATAAATAATTACAAACAATTATAATGAAAATAAAAAAAAAAAATAATATGCACTTTGACACAGAAATGAGAGTAAAAAGGGCATCAGAACAACAAAACGGCAAAATTCAGGATGCAGTGGGTGGGGGATCATGATGGGAAAAAATGATTGGAAAGGGCATCGCAAAACATTTTTTTATCAAATACCTTGACAATGGCTATGGGAAAACCGTTCCAGTTCTTGATTGCATTAGGAAGTGGTGAGTTATTAAATGCGGCTGTGGAACCAAAGATGTGTTTGAAGCTTTTTGCTATTATTTTGACGATCAGATATTCTATTCGGCAGTTCTAAAAGTAATGTGCCTGATTGACCGGAATTAAAATGCAGCCAATGAAGGAGACAAAGTAGTGAGATTAGGCGGTGAATTTCGCCGCCTATCTCGCTTGATTCGTAGCTCAACGATGTGATTGACAAAAGCAAACACAAAAAACTTGCTTGGAAAGGCAAGCAATAATTCGCATGATAGTATGTAACATGGCATAAAAGCAGAAAAAGTTGTAAAGCTAGAACTTCTATCTATTGGAGGTACAGGTTAGCCTAAAGAAAAGCACACCAGTTATTGACACCTCTTCCTCTTTTTATGGCATGTCTCTCTCTCTTTGCAGAAAACAGTCGAGGTGCTCCTACGGCACGAGGCAGACGTGAATGCCCGGGACAAGTTCTGGCAGACTCCACTGCATGTAGCGGCGGCCAACAATGCCGTCTCATGCGCCGAGCTCATAATTCCGCTCCAGAACAACGTGAACATCTCCGACCGGGCCGGCAGGACCAGCCTGCACCACGCCGCCTGCAATGGGCACACCTCGGTGAGTTGCAGGGGGTAAAGACGGGGGCAGAGCGTGGCAAATTATAAACGCCGGTACCAGTTGTCTCGAGAGAGAAAGATCAGTTTAATATAGGATGACACTTGATCCGTGTCGTTGCGTCCCGAAAGACAAACAAAAAGGAGCGACGGAACGAGAAAGAGGGCGACTGAAACGAGAGAAAAAAAGGAAGCAGATGATAAGTTAGGCGTGTTTGCTTTGGTGCAATGAGTTGAAGCTGTTTGAGTGCGTGTCAACTTCAATTCATTTTATACAATGGGCGACGGCGGTGTTTTAGTGCAAAATAAAACTAGGAGAAACTACCTTGGTAGTGATATTTGCTACTTTGTGTATAATAAAGCATCGCCAGCAATATGGACCCACCGGGACTGTTGGTGTCCGCGTCTATGCCCCGCCATTCCGAAGCAGCTGAAAGGCATTAGAAAATGGTGAACCTTTTTCTATAGATTATTATATTAACTCTATGGTGAGTGGGGTGTCCTTGATGATGCAGTGAAAAACTGACCATTCCAATCACTGCTCGTAACAGAAACAATCTTGTATTTAAAAAAAATATAAATATGCCAAGGTGCCAACATAGAATGCAACAACCGCCACCCTTGCCCTTTTTATTTTGTAGAAAGGCAATACTGTGGGAGGGACTGGAACTGGTTTTTTGCAGGGAGAAGTTAAGCCGTGCATATGCCTGCCCCAGAACTGTCCGTTGAGGGAGCAATAGTACCCATTGTACAGTCATCGCTTGCAAGACTGATATGATACTTTTTGTTAGTCCCTTTAGGATGTGCTAGAACGGGGTTAGCTCTCACCGAGGTAAACTGCTGGGATTAGATTCCAACAATAGACCGACCTCACCAAGCGTTCGGCGCATGCATGACGCCGCCGTAAGTTCAGTTCACAGGAGGCAAACAGCAGTGCACGAGAGGGCTCATGCTGTCTCCTACCGCACCCGCACAGAGCTCCAGCGAGGTTCTAGCATGCGCGGAAAGACTAAAGTTCCCTCAATGCATTGCGGCAGCTGTGGCGTAGTCACATTGGCTGGTGACATCGGTCTATTGGAGTAGTGAGCCATCCAGTAGTATAGACCTTTTCCACAAGGGTGCCGCCATCTTGAATTGTCGTCACTTCCAGTATGGGCGAAAACATTGTTTTCCCGTCGCCACGCCAATAGAAGACATTTAGGATATGAGCTTGTCACACATTCTCGTTTTGGTTCCCCTCTATTTTTTTGCTAGTTACAGGTTGAAACGTTTTATTATTTTGTCGTCGCCCATACTGGAAGTGACGACAATTCAAGGTGGCGGCGCCCCTGTGGAAAGTGTCTATATCTTAGACTATTAGTGTGTGCTAGCTCCTGGTGACTTTGTACTAGTGTGTGCAAATAAAATAGCTCGGAACTTTCCTGTAGCCAGGAGTGATATCCGCCTCTTTCATTCATTCTTCCCAGTTGAGCACATGCACCGACAGTCTCATAGATGCCGCTCTCTCTTTCGTCTCTACCTTACATGCTTCCCAAGATAATGCTTTAATGCACTTTTTTTTTCTTTGGTTCCCACTGCTCTTTGCTAGATGGTGGAGCTGCTTCTGCAGAACAAAGCTACATGCAACTTTTTTGACAAGCGGGATCGGAGGGCCATCCACTGGGCGGCCTACATGGGTCACACAGAGGTCATTGCCCTCCTGGTCAGCCATGGGGCAGAGGTCAACGTCCGTGACAAGGATGTGAGTTTCATTTGAGAGGGTCTTTTGTCCCCCTCTTTCTGTTTCTGAAGTAGGTCCTCATGCACTTCTTGATGTTTTTCCAAATTAACATGAATGTTACAAATCTATAGTCCGTTGCAACCTAAGAACGAAGGGCGAGGGTAAGACGGGCCGGGGAGGAGGAAGCGGATGGAACGCTGGGGAAGAGAGGGGGAAACCTCCTTCTCTCTTTAGCGTTCCGTCTGCTTCCTCCTCCCCGGCATGTCGTACCCTCGCCCTTCGTTCTTAGGTTGCAACAGACTATAGTTGTAGTGAGAGGATAGCATGCTATACACTGTTTCACCGTATAAGTGCAAGCAAAGCAGAAGGTACAGGAGCGAGCCCCATGCTTTGAGCTCGCCAAGCCAGGCAAGCGTGCTTTTGTCAAAGAGAGTGGCATTCAAAGCTACATCCGCGGCCTTATAGCTTTGGCTACTCTCACACTTACAATGGCATAAAGATTAGGCAGAATTGCGGTGGCATTCTCACTTAACCTCTTTTACAGCAAAACTGCATGAGTCACAGGTCGGATTTCTGGAATATTTTTGTGTCGTCGTCTTCAGGAAAAAAATACCTCCAGCGATTGAAGCGAAAAGTGCATATTACGTATACAACGTACAGCACAATATTTGTTTCAATAAAGAACAAGCACGAAACAAGCATCCGAACCATATAATTGATGATTAGGTGCTCCTGATTACAATGTGAAGCAAATAACACTCACCGTATATGTTTCCCGGTAAATATTACTGTTGCGCAAGCTGCCGTGGTGACAGCAGCTTGCGACGTGGGGAGTGACATCACTAGCCTTTCATATTAAAAAGTTTTGGTAATGTGCATTTACTTTCATCAATCATTCGGTATAGACCCCTTTGCTGTTCACAAACATGAACTGCCGCTTCCATCTTAAGGGAGGAGGTGGGGAATAAATATGAACTTTCTTATTTCTAGAGATATCTGAACGAAATTTACAGGGTGTATTTATAGCACAGACATAAGAGTAACTGCAAAGTTTCATGGAGCTGTGCATATTATTTCTCAAGTTACAAATATTTATCAAAATTGTCCATATGCATTTCTTATCCCAGGTCTGGAGAATTTGAAAAAGGTAGTAGCGACGTAAAATTTGTTATGATGACCCCTGGATAGGTTCCCCAGGGCATAACAGAGCCCTTTTTTTAAATTTCTTTGTTGAAAGATTTTAACGCAACTTTGAATTTTGTGTAATCAATGAAACCCACATTCATCAAATTTAATTTTTTTATTATAAATTTTTAGCATAGTTTTCTAGAAAAAGGGCTCTGTTATGCCCTCACAAAGTTATTAGAGAACAGAATAAAAAAGACAGCACAAAAATCCATTCATCAGTTCCTGAGATATCGCTGGGACGAGCAGCCACGGCAGTGAAAAAATCCATTCTGAGAAAACAGCACTTGAAAGTTGCACACAGATTTTCAGCTTTAGAATGACCCTGCAGAATAGTCAGAAGTGTTCTTGCGCACTTTCTTCTTGTTCCGCCTTTCCAACTTGTCTTGATGTCGTTTGCTGGCCTTGTGCAGACGTAGGGCATCTTTCTCGGCAGCTCGTTGGAGGGCTAGATGGGCCGGCTGAAGTCCCACTGCAACCGATATTTCTGCAGTTGCCTTGTAGCAGCCGGCATTGAACCTCAACACCGCTTCATGCAGTGCAGTTTCGACAGCGATCAGCGATGCATGCTGTTCCTTAGGCATCAAAGACCACAGGACAGAGTGGAAAGACTCAGATGCATTCTGAGTCTTTGCTCCCAAGCAGCGTTGAAGCAGAGAAACCTGCGACAGGCGTTGGTAGACGGGCAGCATAGCTGCAGCGACGTAGGCTGGGAGTTTGTGCTTGTGCTGGGGCTGTGGCTCACCTTTTGCCTCGGCAACTCTATGACGGCACCACGACTGAGCTCCCTCCGGACAGAGTTCATGGTGAGGCTCCTGGTCAGTCGACGTGACATGATGGTAGGTGGCCATAACAGCACGCTGCATCGCTGCCACGTCCTTGGAGTTGTTTCGGAGGGCCCAGCCATAGTAGTCGGTAAGCTTGTCGATAAGGGCCTTCGTCAACCTGCCCTTGCCGCTCAACGGCTTGTCGCTCTTCTGGACAAGGTTGCGCAGTGCCGTTCCCATTCTCTTCTGAACATGGTTCAAACACTCTTCCTTCACGATGGGGACTAGCCCGTAGACGTTCTCTTCTGTAAGGGCAGAGAAGGTCCTGCTGTCCCCGTCGGAGACAAGTGCTGTATACCGCAGGTCGTGCTTGGAGACAGAGCGCTTGAAGAGGGTCAGGGCCGCCTCGACCTCCATCCTCCCAGATTTGGCGTCCGTGTTTTTCTGGCAGACATGATGCATGTGCCAGCTGTCGTACCCTTGATCTCCAGGCTTGGGTCCTGTTTGGCACCCAAGGCACAGGTTGGATAAAACCACGGCGTCCAAGATGAGGCCTGTGTGGTATTCTATGACTGACCCGACTCCGATGTGAGACGTGTGCCCTCTCTTGTGCCATGTGCAGTCATACACCACGGTGACATCCTTGCAGAACCCCGGGTCCATCTTCTTACAGGCTATCTTCACCGCGACAGCTGACTCGGCATAAAACTTTTCCACGCACAGGGCCTCTGGCTCTCTGAAGGTCTTCTTCAGGTGCTCTTGGAACGTTTTGTGGTGGAGACCTCTGTGGGAGACGTTCATAGCTGCCCAAAAGTAATTGAGAGCTGTCTGCCCCTTTCCTATCTGCTTGATTGCCATGATGGAGCGGATGTTGACTTCGAAGGCCCTCGAGTCTTGCTGGCGTGGCGAAGTCCAGGAACTTGCAATAATGCCGTAATGGGGGCATACAACCTCGAGTTTTGCTGCCAGTCCGAGTTTGGTGCCTTCTTGGACAGTCAATCCAGTCCCCGAGCAATGCTTGCACACTGTGCAGCAGAGCAGGTTGCTCAAAACGTCGATCTGAACAAGGCAGAACTTCTCACCTTGGCTTGTAGCAGAGGCAGGCGTGGGATCGGGCAGCATGGCTTCAAACTTCCTCTGGGTTGCTGGCAGAGCTCCAAGTTCGGCTTGAACGGTATCACGATGTCTAGCTTCTGCTTCGATCTCCTCGCGTGTCAGGAAATGTATCCGCAGATGGGTGCTGGAAGACGCGCTCCCACTTGTCGCGGCAGGCGGAAGACGGGCACTGGGACCCGCGATCTCGGGAGGAACCACAACGGTCGGCATGCTCGGTACTCCAGGCGTGAGCGGGGCGATGCATTCTTCCTCGACGACAGCCGATGGCACAGAAAATCCATCACTTGAAGTGTTGACGCGATCATCATTGACGGCACGCCGTGCAGAAACTTCCAACTTCGCCATCCGCACTAACTTCATGGACCGCTTCCGCGCGCCAAACGCGCGCACCGTCTTGTACTTCGAACCCCGCATCGTGTGCGACCACGAAACAGACGGGCACGCTACACGAAACTACTCAAAGAAAGTTCAGAAAACGATCGTAAAGATGGCGAAAAACGAAGCGGAGCTGACAAAGCAAGAGTGCGTGCAAGCAGACCACTACCAAAAGCAGACGACGCGAGCGGCAACAGCAGGAGAAACGGAAGATGAGGAGAGCGCTCCGCGCGCGGAGAAATCGCGTCCCAGCCAATAGCAGTCGCGCGCTCCCCCGCACGCTCCTCCAGCGCGCGCTCTGTCCAATCGCGTTCTTGCGATTGCGACCTTGAAGAACGGCGACCACGCCGTAACCACGCGGCCGACGCCATTTTGGGAGCTGGCAAAAAAAGAGAAAGAATTCACGTTCAAAACAAGACTAAGATGGCGGCTGTCGGCCGAACGCGTTGGAAATGTCGAGCGCGCGAAGTTGGGGTTGATTTTGACGTTTGACCGTCGCTTGGATGCTACTCAGGCCTCGTAAATAATTGTTTTTAAATATTTCCCCGTTGTATTTGGTGCTGATAATTACAGAGAAGGTAGTTTATGAGATATACAACCGAAAAATAAGGTTTTCTAAAAATCGACTTTTTCGCGATTTTTCGGTTTTCAAAGCCCGCGTCCTCCCTTAAGCGACTTCCAATCCCACCGTCTTTGCAAGCCTGTTGAGCTTGCTTATGTCACCAGTGCTAGAAAGCATGATTGCTACACGGAAAACAGAGTGGCAGATTTAACAAGGACCCTCTGCTGTACAATATTGCATCTTGGAGGAGGCAAGTTGGTTTACAATAATTCTCTAAACATTTGAACAGATCCAGCACTCCTTCATTCTTTTTGGGTTCACCTGGAGAATTGGTGGTTAGATGTTTCATCTACACCTCAAGCAGCGGTGTTAAAGTGGCCTTTGTTCATCCTTTTTATAAACCGGAAGTTCTCTAGGACGTAAAAGACGAGCACCACCTGGTGGTGTTTGCCATAAAAAGGGTCTATTGGGGAGGAGGAGGGACCGTGACACCCCAAGCGGTTAACTTTAGAACTATACGGATGGGGACGACAGATACAATGACTCAGCGTTCAGCCGAAATAACCGAACGCGGCGTCAGCGTTCGGCTTGAGTTCGTGTTCTCTGGTGAGGGGGAGGAGGGGCTCTTTTGTTTCCACTCTGGCCTGCATGAACAATGCAGCATGCACGGTCCCAGCTCAGCACAAAAGCCAAAGTGGGTCAAGCTCGAATTCTCTGAGGATCGATCCGGCACTTAACGTCGCTTTGTCGGTTGTTAGTATTTTTTTTACATTAAACTGTGCCCCGTGCTCTATTGTAGAAGATGACACGGACATGCCTATAATGCCTGTGGGCATGTGCACTGGCCTTGTGTTGAGTAAACATAGAGTGTGGGGAAAACAAACAAGTCAGAGCGCCCCCTATAGTTCGATCTCCTGCCCAATAGTGCAGTGAGCAGTCGTTGCAGGTGATACCACAGCTTCGCTGTCCAGCCAACTTCACAGCATAGATTGAAGCCCAAACTTTTTTTTTGTTTTCCTCGTCCTCTTTATTATTGTGTAGTAGCAGTCCAATCAGTCGGTGTATGACTTCAAATGCAGTGAATCATGCAACAGCCCATGTACTGTCTTACTTCTTTTTATATATAACAAATAAAAATCACAGTTTTTAAACAACGTTGCCGAGGGGAAAAGGGCTATTTGTCGAAAGACAGTTCGTAATAAGGCAACTTATTGCAGGGCTGTTCGTCACATTGGGCAATTTGTCATGGGACGATTCGTCACTGGGACCACTCGTCAAAAAATTGGAGAGAATGTTTGAAGATCTTGTTGCCCGCATATAGTTTTTTAGTATTCGGTCGCTTTTGTTATTCAGCTTCTGCGTAGTGCCCCCTTTAGAAAGTTTAGTCTTGTTTCTTTTTAGGTTGGTAAATATTTTTATGTGCGACACGGAAATAATCTAACTTGTCCACTTGCGCGACACGGACAGACGGTGCATGCACGACACAGACACGGACTGTACATGCTGGACACAGCGACAGACCGTGCATGCGGGACGGAAATGTTTCACGTAACACCCCACAATTGCCCAGCAATTTGCCATCCATATTTTTCCATTAGTGACTGAGAGAAGTGCCAAGATTCTGGTAGACAAGACATAATTAGTCAGTGTATATTAGAAATCACTAAAACTGATTTCTTGTGTCGAGAAAAAAAAAAATTAAATTAAGGGGGTCGCTGGTAATTGTACTCACTTGGAAGACCTATGCTCAGTAAACATATAAAATGCTACAAATATAAGGAATATCTATTAAGAGTTTGACGACTTGCCCTATGTGACGAATAGCCCTGCTACCTTTTGTTGTGTGACAAATAGTCATTTAACGAATGGTTTTACAGCCATTGCCAATACTCCGGTGAACATTGACGAAGAGAATATAATAGTGCCATCTTGCTTCTTGAACTGAGAAGCTTTACCATGTGGAAGCACACAAAAGTTTATATGCCGAGAAACTGAGGGAGAGGAGGAGACGAGAGCGTGTGGGGACGTCAGAACGCCGCCGAGCTCTGTATGGGACAGTTAGTTGTTAGACCTAAAGCTGGGAGCCATTGTCTCAACTGCACCTGTCAAATGCGTTCGAATGCGAGAGCCAAATGGCGGACGCAGGTGTTTCGCGTTTTAACGCGTTTAACGAGTGCAGTGGAGACAAAGGTTTAGGTCCACCCACTTATCATTCCAACCAGAGCTCGGCACATCCCCGCATGCTCTCCTCTCCTTCAGTTCCTTGGCGCATGGATGGCGCCATTACCAACTTAGCATTGGAGGGAGAGTGGTAAATACACACTGTTGGTAGTCCCTCTTACAACGACCCCAAAAACTGAACTCTGATTCGCGATCCAAGTGTTGGCTCGTGGGAAGTAACTTGCCTGGAAGCGGCTTGGAAACAAACACGTTCTCGCTTGTTTCGCCCACAGCTGTACACCCCGTTGCATGCTGCGGCGGCCAACGGGCGTCTGAGCGCCCTGCGGCAGCTGCTGAGCCTCGGGGCAGAGGTGGACGCTCCCAACGCGTCTGGCAACACTCCGCTGCACGTGGCCTGCCTCAACGGCAAGGAGGACATCGCCGACGAACTTCTCGTCGCCGGTGCCCACAGCTCTGCGCTCAACTGCCGCGGGCAGGTGAGTTCATGGTCGCCCGCTCCTCTCTGTTTGCCGGGAGGGTGCAGTTCCCCAGGCGCTTCCTCGGAAGTGGTCCTTTGATTTTCACCCGGCGGCATCGCGGAAGTGTCATGCCGTCGTCTGTTGCGATTTCAGCGGTGGCACGGCGGGGCAGAGGCGGCACAGGAGATATACACCAATTAAAAGTCAGTTTTGGTTACATAGCAAATATTGGGTCAATGAAATAGATCTGGGCAACGTTTCGGCTGTTATGTCGTATCTGGGCAGATAGCCCCCCCCCCTGCCCAAGCCTGACCCATATATTTGCCCCTGCTTTTGACGCGTGGGCAGTGGGGAACGCTTCGCACGCGAGTCAGAGACGCATTCCAAACGCCGTAGCAACTGCGAAGCCCTCTTTTACCGGACTGCGGGGCTGTCGGTAGTAAACCAGGGGCTGTTGACTTGTTCGTACAGAAAGTGGTAGCCAAAGGTCGCAGTGCGCGCCGATCGAGCTTTCACAGCAAAAAGGCGTCGTCATTGTCTTGGGAGTTTAGTCGTTGCGACCCATAGTCTTTGTTCCCAACTTTGTGTTTCACGAGTCTAACGACCCGGGAAGGTCTTGCCAGTAGACGTCCTTGACTGAAGCTTAAGTTTGATCAGTATGCAGCAAGAAACTTCAAGTATCTTGGCCTTGTTGCACTTCGTTTGAAAGGTTTTGTTTCCAGATTTTTTAACAATATTGTGCGAATGTCGTTCAATTGGTAGATCAACGCCTTATCGCGCTGTGAAAGAGTAGGTCGGCGAGACTATGTGCGTGTGGTAGAAGGCACATGCCAAGCATCGGTGACTCGCTGTTTCACACTGCGATAAAGCGCTGATCTTCCGGCCGGTCAGCATTTGTGCGATATTGTGAAGAAATCTGGAGGTTGTACATCGGGGTTTGGTAACTTTTTGGCTCAATTCCTAAAATTTTGCGAGGATCATTGTCAGCTTATATGCTTTCATGAGTTGTGTTTGAGGAAAATTGTTTTATAGAGTTATATATGAACTGGGAATAAATGTTTTTTTTTTAATGATTATCAAACATATGACTCTTTTGATAATCGCCGGGAATTTAATTCACAAATTATCGAGAGTGCACGGACGTTTTTGAAATTGGTGAAACTTAGATACTGGGTCACGTCAAGGTTGTTGATACGATTAGGTTACCGTAAAATTCCGAGACATGCCCCACCCCCGAAGGATAGCCCACCCCTATTTTTGACTTGGTTTGCTATATCTTTTTGAACACAGAAAGATAGCCCACCTCTAGTAATATTAGTGCCGGGATCAGTGATGGCCTCGACGTAAGTGCGGCTAGTTAGCTATGGTGGGATATACGTGAACATTGCTGACTCGGAAGTACTGATATCTTTGCTTCGTTGCCGGAAGGCACACGACCTTAAAATAGCAATTTTTTAAACTTTTCTTGATTGTACATTGAAAGTTAGCCCACTCCATATTTTCACCCGATTGGCTCTTGATGTTAGGTGGGCTATCTCTCGGGATTTTACGGTATTTGAATCGGCGCCATACACTGGCCTCGGCAAACTTTTTTTCCATCTTCTACTGCCGTGAGCAGCACAAAATACCAAAACAGGTCAATTACGTGGAATTGATCCAAAGACGTTTTTCCCTTCGCGACCCGTTTTGTTCACGTCGCTTGGTCGTCCTGCAATCCCTGTGGCGTCTCATTCTCCCCGCAGACGCCGCTGCACTACGCGGCGGTCTCGACCCACGGGGCAGGCTGCCTGGAGGTGCTGATCCGCAAGGGTGCAGGAGTGAACCAGCAGAGCGACGACGGCCGCAGCCCGCTGCACATGACGGCCATCCACGGCCGCTTCACCCGCGCCCAGACCCTGCTCGAGCACGGGGCCCGGGTGGACGCCACGGACCACGCGGGATGCACCGCCCTGCATGTGGCAGCGCGCCACGGCCACGACCTGCTCGTCGGCTCTCTCCTCCTGGTGGGAGCCTCCTGCGACCTGTGAGTGCTCGCCCGAAGTTTGTCTCCGACCAGTCTGGTTACCGCAGTCTTAAAAGTGGTTTGAAAAATCTGCCAAACAAATTGTCTCTTTACTCTTACATCTGTGAGTTGCGTAGATTTTTTTCCAGTGTCGATGACCGTGAACCGCACACCGACTCGGTGTGTGTCCTTTCTTGTCTCGACGCAGCCACAGCTCCTCGGGCATGACTCCTCTGCACATGGCCGCCCTGGGCGGCTTCACGGAGTGCTGTCGCAAACTGATTCAGTCGGGTGCCAAGCTCACCTCGAGGGACAACAAGGGACGCACGGCCGTGCACTACGCCGCCTTTGGAGGGTGAGCGAGCAACTCTGTTTCCTCTCTGTTTTCGTGTGCGTGGCATAGAGGACAGTCACGTTTGAGGAACATCTCTTAGAAGTCGTGTTTGTGAAGCAGATTTGTTTAGCGCTGAACGTGTTGAATGGCTGGCTTCTAGCCATTTCTTGGAACACACTCCTGTAACGGGAAGTGCGTCGCACAAGTGCTACATCGGTGTTAGGCTGGAATTTGTGTCCTTGCTGATTGCACACGAGTCCCAGCTAAATGCTGACTCGACACCTGTGTCTGATGTGTGCTGAACTCTAGTAGGCGACGTAGAAGACCAGCCTTGCGACCTTATCTGCGAGGTGTTGAAGGGGTGCAAACTTCGCATTACACTCCCACTCGACTGCTAGCTCCAACTGAATTTTGTTGCAGAAATGCTGCGCACAACAATGTTTGTGTAGTTGCTGAACAAAACTGTACGAAGTTCCTCTGTGCAACATTACCGTGATGCAGCACGCAACACATTCTTTGCTACCACTAGATTTGCCACAATACTGGGGTAAACCTTACCTAGGGAGACTCCATGATGTCGTAGTACGGTTCTTGCAGGATTGCACAGTTCTTTAGGTTATGTTGCTTGCATGGTTTTAAAAGACAGCTGGAATATTCTTGGCCCTTGTCTCGCAGTAACCCGGAGACGCTGGAGCTGCTCATCGACAGTGGTGCGGACTACACAAGCTGCGACAGCTATGGAAGGTATTGGTCTTCCCCCACCCCAAAGGAAAGAGATCAGCAAAATGTGGTTATATTTGGCCAGATCGTTCAAAAATAGAATTACCAAATGTAGAAGCATGTCACAACACTGAAAACAAATCTCTCTAAAAAACAAAACAAAAAATCGATAAAAAGATTTTTTTTGTTGCATGTTCTATCTAGGGGCTTTAACCTCTTGCCTACTCATTTTTTCCCTCGAGGAACATACAGAAATTTTTTATTTTAAACGGGCAATGTGCCTTAAAATAAGAAAAAAAAGTATTTCGACTTCCAGGTGTCGTATCTTGCTCTAAATCAGGACTACTGGTCCGAGTCCCACTAATGTGCACACGCTGCAATTGATGGAATGCTTGCAGGATTCATAGTTTTCATCACTGCTGTCAATGCTTATCAAGCTATCGTCAGATTCCTAAAAATAGGAAGGGCCGAAGGATTTTTTGGTCACATTTGCCTGAGCAATAATCCCATTCAAAAAGAAGGTTTTGTATCTCTTTGTCGGCTAAAGTAGACCTTCGCGCCAAAGCCATGTTGTTTTAGTGCAAACACTCTCAAGCGACTACTTTTTCTTTTCTTGGCAAAATGGAGCATTCTCTCTCTGTCAAACAGCAAAACAAACGAGCAAATTGCCCAAGGTAAATAAAGCAACAGAGGTGGTTTTTCCATCGAGTGACACTTGTTATTACAGTTAAACCTGGATATAACGAAATTGATAAAAGTTCACAATAATTCGTTATATGGAGGATTTCGTTACATGCAGTTTTCGCGGAAAAACTCGTAAAGGACACGTGCAAAGAAAGCAAAAATTAAAAATCCATGTGGGCAAACTCACCACGTCGTTTATTTAGTGGAAAAGAAGTCTGTAAGCTTGCCTTGTGTCTTTCGCGCGAGCGATGGCAGCATGCAGCGCTCAAAGGACACCAAGGCGTTTAGAGCGCTGTTGTCGTCCTGGGAGCCGGCGGCCCGGCGTAATACATCAATGGCATCCAAGACCTCCCTCGTGGTAGGCACCAAAGGCTGCTTGCCTTTGGTGGCAATTGGACATGAACATATATGCATTTGAGGTATAGTCGCCGACCGATTATTCGGGCTTCGCAGGGACCGAAAAAACGTCCGAAGGACAGAGCAGTCCGAAAGATCAGCAGATTAAAAAAATTGCCTTTATTACTTCCAAGTGGGCTTAAAAAAGCCGTAAACAGTGCCTTGTTTCAGTTTACGCCTCCGTTTCCGTTCGGCAACTTTCTGTTAGCTTGAGAATCGCTGCCTTCTTTTCTAGCGTTATGATCGAGTACTTTCTGCGCTTCTTAATGACACATTGCGGCGGCAGAAAAACAGATCGAGCTATGATGTCCAAGCAAACGTTGTGCAAACGAGATAAGAGGCGCAAAACCACGAACGCAAAATGGCGACTGGCGACGCAAAGAAACTGGAAAAGCAGAATGATAATAATGATGATGATGATGATGTGCAGCTAAATTGAAAAAAAGGGCTAGCATAGCGTCACCTAGCGGTGGGACTCAGGAGTACTCAAGTAGGCGCCAGTAGTGGTGCCAAACCAAGCCAATCCATTTGCAGTCAACATAGAATTCAAAATGGCCGCTCCCACTGATCGCTCGCGACGAGTTTGACCAAATAATCAAACTTTCGGACTTCAAGCCTTCCGAAACATTGGCCGTGAATATACACTATTTCTATGGGGTAAGTCACAGTTCAGCCTTTGGGTCCGAAATATCGAACAAATCGGAATTATTGGAGTCCGAAAAAAAAAATGGAGATTGCGGCGGAGTGAGTTCGTTAAATCAAGGTTATCCAGTGCGAGCGCTTCGTTACATGGAGTTCACAAATACAAGCGCTTCTATGAAGATTGCGTCGGGGGATTGCAAAAGTTCGTTCAATAGAGGATTTCGTTGTATACAGGTCCGTTACATCCAGGTTTAACTGTAGTAGGCAAGGGGTTAAAGGGCAGGTTTTCTCAATTCCGAAAATTTCGGCATTGTGAGTGATTTCACATTAAAAAGCACTAATAAAAGGTCTTGCACATTAAAAAGTACTAATAAAAGGTCTTGCACATTAAAAAGTACTAATAAAAGGCACTGCATTATTTGCTTCGCAGAAGAATGGGACACATTCTGTGAAATCTTGCTTTAAACATGAGCAGAAACCAAAACTTCGGCCTCATTAGACAACATTGGCCTCGGGCCGCCAAAAACTTGGCTACCATGTGGTAAGAGTGGTCACGTGACCCTCTACGCGACGATGGACGGCATTGGGGCGGGCCACCGTGTAGCGCCCATAGGAGACAGTGCTGATGTCACCTGTTGCGCTTGCCCGGAGTAATAAAAATAAACAAAAAGTAGCAACGTTGATGTTTAGCTTAACGTTGGCTTGCCAACGGTATAGTCTCGACTGCGTCGTTGATTGTGCCTCAATTCGCCTGCTAGGGTCGGCCGATTTTGGCAACTTGGGGCCTTTCAAAGTTTGTCGAACAGCTTAAGAAACATTTAGACAAAACTAGGTTGTAATATTAGACGTGCGGTCTTAGGTAATACTAAAAAGAAGTGCATTGTTTTTAAAAAAATTGAGGCAGTGTTGCTTTTTAAACAAGTGTTTTTTTTAGTTTTTTTATGCTTTTACGGTAGAGCAGTGCGTAGCATGGCAGCGAGGCGCACACGTCTCCAAGGCCGAGCGTCCTGTGGTTTGTGCGCAGGCTGCCCCTGCACTACAGCGTGGGTGGCCCCCAGCAGGGCTGCCTGTCGCGTCTGCTCTACCTGGGAGGCGCGGAGGTGGACCGGGCGGACTCCGAGGGCCTGACGGCGCTGCAGCTGGCAGCCTCCTCCCAGGACCCCGAGGGGCGGTCCCTGGCAGCCCTGCTCTCCCAGGGGGCCACCCCGTGCCTCAGGGACCACAGGGGCTTCGGGCCACTGCACTGCCTGGCCGCGGCGGGGCACCCCATGTCCCTGGGGGCGGTGAGTTTCCGGCCTGCCGAGACTCGCAAGAAGCAGTTCAACGCTTTTAAGGGGGAAAAAAATTTGCAGCTCATATCTTTTTGTACGGTTCATCTTGGCACGAGCAAGAGGAAATGCGCCACTTTGCCCCGAAATAGGTGATTCCGCTGCATAATTGCTAAGGAAAAGACGCATTATTTGCCAATCTGCAGCCGCGTGTGGCAGTTATGGGAGCTGCGGCGTTCTGTCGTTTGGAGCACGCGGAAGTCGACGAAACCAGTCCACCTCCGTCGCTACGCACTTCTTTGGCCCAATGGCAAACCGTCTGCTGTCTCAATCGCTTGCCACCACCTTTGGCGACGCTAATCCTCGAAAAGTCTACGATTGCGAGGGGAGCGCTTGAGGTCCCAAAGACAAATCCCAATGGGAGCCCAGTGACGTCGCTTGAAAGATGGCGTGGGAGTTGGGTGTACACTGACCTTCGATTTGTCGCGTTTTTAGCGCAGAATGAGCTTTATCGCCTGATTTTCATGGAGTCTTCTAGCGTGCAACTGTAATGGCCGGCTGCAACCGAAAACGGACATCAAAAAGCGTTACGCTCATGGGAACAGTACAAAAAAACGGTTCCCTGGCATGATTTGAACTCGTTACCTCAAGATTGCGAGCCGAATTCTTTGCCAACTGAGCTATCCACTCAAAAGCGAACTCATTGGTGCGGTGCGTGAAGGCACGGTTGCGTGCTTCGCGGCCTCTACCGTCATGCTGCTCCATCTCGTGGCGTGTGTCAGAAATGAGGGCGAATCTTCGGTAGCCGGTGCCGTTTCAGTTCCCTTCTCTTCTTCCCTGGAAGGCCTATCACGCATTCTGTCCTTGCCAGTCTTTGTCACCATAATCGAGCTTGTATAATTTTTTTAAGTAAAAACTGGTGCACACGAGGAAAAATGTTCTTCTGTCCTTCGTCCTATAGGTCGGACAGACTAATTCCCACTTTTAATTGGCTAAATTCCGAAAATTGTTTCACTCTCCCTTAGGTTAAAAAAAAAAGGGCTAAGAGCAAGTGCAAAACGAGCACCTTTCCATTGACTAAAAACTCAATTTCACAACACATTCTTCGCTCTTGATTGGATTGTTTGTCAGTAACGCACATCAAAACACAAGAAACATTGTGACCTCTTGCTTTTGGCCCAACTTGATGGGCTTCGTTGGACTTAACATTGGTTGCTCTTGGGCTTATGATATACAAGAATTTTTAAAGCTTGCTCCTTGGCCAAGACTGTGCAGAGAGAACTACTAAAGCCAGCACACGAGCCGAGTGCCATCTCTATGCGCTCGTGCACCTTGGCTTTGGCAGTGCGTCCTTTCACACGGTTTGGGCTAAAATGCTTTTTTAGCGAGCCTTCCCAGCCTGATGGGCCATTTGAAATTCATTATTAGACCAACATTATTACAACAATGTTATTAGATCAGTGTCATTAGATCAATGTTTATAGACTAGCATTATTAGACTAACTGAGTTATGGAACATTGCTCTGGAGGGGGGAATTTCCTTTGCACGGGGTGCACGAGAGGATGGGCACTCCCCATCAGTAGCAATCGTCATTATCTGCCGCATTTTTTCATACTTTTGCTGGCAAGAAACAGATTTAGGAATATTTTAAACTCCTGTTTGTTGTAATATATTAATAATGGATGTCTGGTGCATTGCAGGTATGAAGCACGTTTCGAATGCTCACCTTTTGCGACAAGAACAGCTTGCAGCCCATGCTGCAAGCTGTTCTTGTCACTCTAGTTTCACTCTAGTTTCAGGAGAAAAAACAAAACAAAACACAACTCTGCTTTTACTCAATCTTTTACGTGCTGCAGCGCTAATCTATGCTCTTTGTAGGGAAAGCTTGCTCTAGTCGCCCACAAGGTGAGAACGGTAGGACATCTCTTTCGAACATTTGGCCTTCTGCATGCAGTCTTTGCCTCTTGCCGTGTTTTGGCTTCAGTGTGCGCTGAAAGCACGAGGCAACCTAATCATTGTCAAAGACTGGGGCTGGACGACTGAAGCTCCTCCCTGCCATTCTCACCCTTTCAGTGGGCGGACGAAAATATCCTAATCTCCCGGCAGCGCTACCGATGCAAGTATTCAGACGTGATTTTAGTGACTTTGGGCGCCTTTTGTTCTACAGCTGCTGTGGGAAGTTAATGATGTTAATAATCTGAAAGTGTTATTATTTTATTTATTAAAATAAAGATGGTGTCAACAAAGCTTTGTTATGTCTGTATGGAAGAGGATCTACTCCCTATAGACTGTAACTTTATTGTGAATCTCTTCTGGCTTTTTCGACCCAGGTATTATCTGTGATGAGAGCCGAAGAGGTTAGGAGAGCGAAGTCAAGCTGCGGCGTGACGCCCCTTCATCTGGCGGTGAGTGGCTTCTACTCTGCCTCTCTCTCTCTCTCTCTCGAGAGAGAGAGAGACAGAGAGAGAGAGAGAGAGCCGTATGTTCCAGGTGCACGTCTTTTAATGCAAGATGTATCCTAAAGCTGGGTTTCATGGGAAAAGCAACTGACACGCCGGTTACGGTCATATTAGCATTATATATATTGCTACTAGAACATTTGAGCTAGTGGCAATAAGTTTGTTAAATACTAGATCATATGCGATAAACTCGGGAGATGCGATAGTGTGTCGCAAGTGAGCTGGGCACATGTTGCATGCGTGTGACATCGTGGGACATTGTATGTTACGTGACAGATGCCACATAGCTCTGATCTCGCGCGACATCACGCGACTTGACGTGAAGTTCGGGCGTCGTGTCATTTTGGTCACCCAACAGACCATTTGCAGCACGATCTGCATCTTGGAGTTTATCGCATGTGATCGAGGCATGCTTATATTTTTTACCCCTTCGGTTGCCACAGTATTGTAGTGCTACTTACCATGACTGTATTAAAGTGTTTTGCTCGCCGTACAAGATGGTGCGAGCGAGGTTGGTCAGGTTTTCCCGCTTTGCTCTGCCAGGCCTTGGGCGGTCACTGGAGCTGCCTGGAGGCCCTCCTGTCCAAGGGCTGCCTGGAGGTGGACGCCACGGAAGAGCACGGCTGGAGCCCCCTGGCCCTGAGTGCCCTGAGGGGTCACTCGCAGTGCCTGCGCCTGCTGCTGCAGCACGGGGCCCGCACGCTGGCCCGGAACCCCCGCACGGGGTCCACCGCCCTCCATGTTGCAGGTGAGGGCACCTGCCTCGAGTGGGGACACATAAGTGGGTGGGGTTTGTTCCGGGATACAACACGCTGCTATATGACATGCCGGAGTACGATTCCAGGATGTGACATCTCGCAATAGAACATTCCAGATTGACATCTTGGGAGAAGACGATCCGGGATAAGATATTCGGGTATACGACATGCAGGAATACAACGTAGCAGAATACGACGTACCGAAATGTGTCGTCCCTAAATATAGCATGCCAGAATATGACACAACGGAATGCGACGTCACGAAATACAACATCCAGAGATAAAAAATCTAAAGATAATGACATCGTGAAATACAACATTCCGAAAAATGATATTTCGAAATATGCCATTCCAAAATATGACATTTCGAAATATGCCATTCCGAAATATGACATTCTAAAACATGACATGACGAACTATGACAGTGGTTCTCAAATGGGGGTTCATGAAGAAATTTTAGGGGTCCGCGAAGCCGTGCCTCATCAGTCAAGCCCGGCAAGAAAAGTTATCTTTTTTCAGATTGAGAAGAAACGTTCCAACTTTCGGGTGAGTGTTTTTGTGTGTATGTAAATGAGAGATGTCTGCTTTATACTAGATCTTAGTTGTGTCCATTTATTAAATCATTATGCTAATTAACCTATAACTTTTCCTTCCCCTTACCACGAACAGGGTCCTCCACCATCTCTGTCGATCCACAGGGGGTTCGCGAAACATCATTGGTTGAGAACCACTGGACTATGACATGAGGGAATACAATATGCTGGAATAGGAAATTATGGGTGTGCGAATACCGAATAGTAGTTTTCGAACCGAATACCGAATCGAATCAAGAAAAAAAAGCCGAATATTGAATCAAATAGTGATTTTATTTGTAGGAATTTTTCAAAGTGTGCTGCGAATGAGATTATTATATGTGCAGAGTATGCACCTGTTGCAGAATATGCATCTTGTGCAGAAAGCTAAAATGTAAAAAAATTCTGGTGAAAAAAAAAAAAATAAAGCAGTTGCTGTTGGATGTTGGGCACTAAAGATCCAATTTTATGGCACAAATATAATCTATCTTCCCTAAACATCACAAAAAAACCAGAGTTACAGCCACGCATGCCTTTTTTAAGCCCAACCTAACACCGCGATTTTTTTTTTTATAAATGTTTGCATATCTCAGAAAAGGGGCTTTTTGCAATATTTGGTTTTCATTTTAAGGAAGAAAAAGGGCACCCGGGATTTTATTTCACGTAAATAAACAGATAGGTGTTAAATCTTAGTAAACAGGCTTAAACAATATAATCTGAACTAAGAAAAAAAAAAAAACGTGGTTAGGTGGCGCAAGACACCGTCCAACTGCCGCTATGCATCCATTTTTCCGTCTATCTATCCTGTTTTAGAGAGCCTTGATATAAAAGAGGGAGCAAGCGAAATTGAAACCACGCAGATGGCTCCAGTGCAGATTGGTCATAAGTGTGCATGTGTTGTGTTGTCGCGAGGAAAAAGGCGAGCAAACAGAAGGGCGACGACGCCTGCTTTCCCTGCCCTGTCTGCCCGCTCCCGATCGACGCTTTCGTTTTTTCGACACCTTCTCGCAGTTCGTAATTCAAACGCGGCTATCGAACGGTTGGAAACCCTCTCAAATCTAGGCACACTATTTTCCCGTTCCGTTTCGTTCCGAATCAGAATTTGCGGCTTGAGGTTCCAAAAGAACGACGACGATAACTCGGCTGGTTTTATCGGCGTGTTTAACGTGGTTTTCTTTCTGTGATCGTGCAGTCGCCAATTTCTGTTGTAAGTGCGGCCAAGTGTGTTTTACATCGGTGCTTCAATTTGAAACGAGGGGCTTTATTCTGGAAGCGGAGCAAACGGGATGTTTCGGTTGTGATGATCGTGAGTAAATCTGCGTGCTATAAAGTTCGTGGCGTTCGTTACTTTTTTTTTTTCTAACCTGTGCGTTAGATTTTTGTGGAATGGTAGAACCAAGAGCTGTTTTTCGCATGGTTTGTCTAACATCACGGCGCTTACATCGGGGGGAAAAACATTTTTTTTTTGCCAGCTTCGCTCCGACCGCGCGTCTTTGGCTGAATATATCGAATATTCGAGTGACCGAATACTAGGAATTCGATTCGCGAATCGAATTATTCGGGAACTTTCTATTCGATTCGAATTCGTATATTCGAGTATTCGCATACCCCTATAGGAAATATCAGAATATGACATCCCAGAACATGACATCCTGGAACCCGACGTATCTGAATAACATCTTGGGGTATGAGATCCCGGACATAACATCCCGGAACTCTACAACCCAGAATACAATATTTTGGGATACATACAACATTCCGGAATACGACATATCGGTGGCATATTGGAATACAACATAACGGAATAGAACGTCCTGGGAGAGATAAAATGTCCCAAGATACACACAACCTTCAGAACTATGATTTCTTTGAAGGCAGCTATCCGGAATATATCTCCTCAGATTGTCGTGCTGGGAATTCGGATCTTGGGTGCCTGAAATTCCAGGAAGTGTGGGAACCACGGTATTCAACAATTTTCAAAGTTTCCTAAAGCCTATGTGTTCTGTGATACTGACAAAAAGAAAAAAGTTTTTGCTATGCTTTAAGACTTCATAGAAACATGCATGTGAAGGCATGTAATTTTAAAGAATACCAGTGGAGGACAATTTCTTAAACAACTGGTGCACCTTTCAGAGTTAAAAGATGTTGTGCTTGTTGCTTTTTCTCTGTAGTAGTCGGGTTAAGTTAAAAAAAAAATTGTTGTCGTTTGTCCTTCATTTCCAGCGGCCCTCGGCCAGAAAGAGTGCCTTGAGATCCTCATCAGCAGTGCCAACGAAACCAGTGCAGTCGATGTGGCGGACAACTCTAGCAAGTAAGGACCAGTTTGGCCTCCTGTTGGAGCAAAAGCTATCATGAAGCAGAGTGCAATGCAAGGGGGTGCACCTCAAATGAAAATTTTGGGAGTGCACGTGCAAAACCAGCGAAGGGCATCGTTGGTTTTGCACAAGCAGTTATTTGGTTAAAGGCAATTTTTATCCTGTCTTTCGATTTGGAAAGGCTGCAAAGGACTACCATAATACCCTGAGTTATTGCCCAGCTTACCTTTTTGGCAAATATTGATTTCCAAAAAAAAAAAAACACCAAATGATCGTCCAGCCCTACAAATACCCCAACGCGGACTGCGCAATCCGCGAACATTCATCCTACTTGAATGATGTGGCCGCGGACCTTACGATTGGAGGATGTCCGTGACAAAGTAAAACGAAGGGGGGAAAGACATTTCACTTCATTTACGGATTCCCTCCCCGATTTCTGCGATCCCGAAGTTGGGGTACATTAGTGCGAAAGGAAAACAACGGATATAACAGGTAGAAACTTTGTTTTGCTTACAAAAAAGTTTGTTGAGTCACAAAAAATTTCTGAAACATAACGTGCTGTAACCCATTCAGGGATCGCGAGGTCATTGAAATAAGGTCACCATGAACCAGCTCCTTTTCCCGGAATGTCGCGACCGCGGCTGGTATCCGCGACTCCAACTAACTATAGGTGGCGCCACTCATTTTCCAAGATGGCGGGTTAGTGAGGGTCAGAGATGCGTGCCGCTGTTGAGCCCGTCTAGTGTGCTGGCTTCACTGAGCGACATAAATTATTTCTGGTAATACAAGGAAGCTAATGTTTTATGAGCGCAGGTTACCCCTTTAACCTGAAAACAAGAACGGTGTTTAGCGTATTATTTACGGAAGGATGCGCGTTTTAATTCTGGAGCGAAACCGAAACTTACCTCTATTTTGGATTTAATTTCTCGATATAGGCCTTAATTTCGAATTATTTCACGACTCAAGATATGTCTCACATCGTAATTATTTACTTAGAAAAGTTGTTCGCGGAAACTTTATTTTGTGACATACTGTTCGATCCAGGGTGATATTCGTAGTTGCTGAAAAAATCAGTGCTGATATCTGTGCGTTCTCGCAGCCTTTCTCTCGCTCAGATAATTGTCATGGGAAATAATGACAATTATTCCAGCACAAGAATAAGAAAATAATTCTAATTTTTATAATATGTCCACGAAACGTATAAACTAATAAACGCTGCTCTCACTGCAACAACCCAAAGACGGAATCCGAAACAGACAGCTGAGGTGTGTGTATGTTTTTATAGCACCGCGTGACGTGTAGGACTTCATATTACATCGATTGTTTGACTGTTTGTCTATCTTGATAACTATGTCAGAGTTTTTCATATGCTAAAAAGAAAACAGAATTATACCTTTCTGGAAAGACTATTATTGTTAAAGAGCGTATTCTCGTGATCTTGGCGTTAATTGGAGGCATACTTTGCCGCGATTTGTATTCATAATAATAATATTAAAATTCACATATTTGAATAAGTAATTCTTCAAGTTCTAATATAATTTGTTGCTTATGATCTAATTTTAAACGTGCGAAGGAATATGACAAAAAAAACTGTGCTAATTATCATCACTGGTTTCAGTTGCTGCATTTTAATTACCAATAAAAAAAATAGTCTAAAATCAATGAAAACATTTTAGCGAATGTGAGAAATCCATGTAAAATTACATTAATTGTGAATAAAGTATATTGTGCTCAAAGTCGCGACTTTTGACAACAGGCGAAACGCCCAAAGTCGCCGCCAATAACCTTCCAAACCAAATGCACAAAAGTAAAGAAACAAAAGAAAAAAAGAAAAAAGCTTTTTTTTTAATTATTCGTTTTTTCATAACATTTATTTACTTTTGTATTTGCTCGCCGTTGTTTTGCCAATCTCAACCTTTCCACTTCGAAGGAACGCCTACCTGCTTGCACGTCTGGTCACTGCAGCACGTTTCGTTGGCGTTGGAAGCCGGTGAAACAGTTGTGAGTTTTAATATTGCGTATACGAGCGAACTCAAGCCCTGTGTGTTTGCGTTAGCTTTACGTGTTCCACACTGCGCGTGCGCGGAGCCCGAAATTGCGGTCTTGGATGGCGCATGGCGATGGGGCGCACGCACAACGTGTCGCACGCAACTCTAACGCAACCACACACCGCTTGCGTTTGCTTCTATACGCAATACTAAAACTCTCCAGTAAGGTACAATCCCATACCGGCTGCAGCACTACGTTGGTACAGTGAAGAGTCTTGTTTACATTCGGAAACGACATTTCGCGAGCCATGATCGCGAGCAGTTCCGCCATGCCCGCTGAGCAGGAGAGTCGGGGGACCCTCACTAGAGCGCTTCCCGTTTCCGCCGCGGGAGGGAGGGCGTCGAGCTGGAGACGCGAATAGTTGTGCAATGTTTAAGAGAAAGCCAACAGGTAAATAAATATTTGCTGGAATACCACATGCAGACTTTTGTAGAGCGTCCCATTTTGGGCTCCATGTTCGTGGTGCCATCTATGCCATGCAGCAACGCCTCCTCACCCTGCATCGATAGCATGCAGTGCACGGATGCATGCTTGTGTGCACCAAGCAAGAAAGTTACGCAAGAGCCTGCTCCTTGCAATTCACGAGGCGCCCGTCACCAAAATTTTTGCCAACGCGATCGCCGGCTTTCCTGCTTCCCCAGCATTGCTCTTCATTGCTTCTTCCGTCCGCTCGCTCGTGGCGCCTAGCTGGTTTATCTATTTTTTTGTTTACTTTATTTTATTAACGAAGAGAACATAGCGGTGTAAGAAACTTGCTTTCACGGAAGAAACGTTTGTGCTGTATGCCAATCGGCGGTGTTCATTGTGCATGTGCAAGCAATGAACTTTGTAATGCTAAAACATTCTTTCATAAGCATTTCTTGCATAAAACAATGAAACTAATTTGTGTTTTGTGTTTAATGCATATCTTGTGCAGCTGCTTCAGATTTGATGGCAAATGGGTGTTTTTTTGTTTTTTTTTAGCTTTTTCTTAGCATTTTATGCTTACCCACAGAGACATGGCCCATCCCACTTTTTTTTCATGAATTTCATGCGGCAAGGGGTGGGCAATGACTCGGAATATCACGGTATGGGATATCTGATGAACCTTTCGTCAGCTCACCCAAGCATCATGAGGATAAATAGCGCAAAACAACAAGGAAGGAAGGACGGATGAGCGGTTACTGACAATTGACATTTTAATACACTCTATAGAGAAGGAGAAGAAAGAATTTCCAGATGCTATCGCTTAAAAGAAAGATTGAAAAGAACACCCTCATAGGTGCTTGTTATACCTATTAAAAATAAAATACAGTCAAACCCAGATATATTGAATTCAAAGGGGATCATAAAATAGTTCAATATATCAATAATTTGATATACAAAAATATGTTAAATTAAGGTCGGGACAAACGGGAGCCTACCAAGTAGAGCATCCAAGAGCCGCTAAATACAGTAGAGCGTAGTTGGTGGAGATCGCAAACACCGCCCCGCTTACACACGCACCTGGCCTGGACTTCCGCACAGCATAAACAACAAAACACAAAAATAATAATAAAAAAAATTATTAAATTCAGGCAGCATAAAAAGAAAGGCAAGAAAAGAAAAAAAACTGGCAAAGCAAAAACGGCAGAACAAAAAGTTAAGCAAACATAAGGCGTTCAAAGTGATATTGCACAAACGTTGTTGTCGACATGTGGACACTCGACTTGCCTAAGACTTTTTTTTGCTCATTTTATTTTGGGGCTAGGGAGTCGCACAGCATAAACAGAGTTCGGGGGAAGGGTGCAGGCTACTGTTACGACATTGGGCACTCCCTGCTCTCCCTACGCGTGTGTATGTGCCCTTCCCCTTGCTTTTGCCCTCCTCCACTTTTTTTTTGAGGTTCATTGTTCATCTTTTTCCACAACTGATCTTTCGCTGCATGTCTTACGGCGTGTATGCTGGCTTGGCGGTCTGCCTGCCCCGCAACGCCAATGATGTGCTTCATGTGCTTGCCACCGGCGCAATCGGTTCGCGAGAAAAGCAACGGGCGGCCGGGCTTCCTTTGCTATATTGAGTGTCCCTGCCATCGAAGTTCGATACAAAAAGACAACGCTCCGATACTATTACATGCGATTTCCAAGGGGATGTGTGGACTGTTTTATATAAACAATAATTCAAAATACCCGAGTGTGATATAACCGGGCTCGACTGTCCACAATACCTTTTGAAAATAAATTATACCTATTATAACATATTACACCTATTAAAAATGCTTTGCATAAAATCTATAGAGTGTATTAAAACGTCAGTTGTTAGCTAGTGCTCATCCCGTCTCTTTCGTCCCTCCTTCCTTGTTGTTTTGCGCTCTATATCCCCATGATGGACAACCAACTAGCCCGCCAGATCGTGCTGCACACACGCACTTGATGTGTCTAAAACATTCAGGGTAAATAATTAAAGGGGCTATGTAACAATTTCAGTGCTCTGCTTAAATAATTTGGGAGTTGGTGTACCGACCTTTCTGAGGTAAAGAACAAAAAAAGGCTTTTGCCTGCATGTCCTAGTTTTTATTTTTAAAATTGACAAAGATTGAGGCTTTCGACACCTCTCAACTCCTTCAGCACCTTTCAAGTCACGTGCGCTGTGACGTGAATGGGGGACGCGTGGGGTTCCGGTCAAGCTCTCTCTTTGGAGCCATCGGTAAGCAGCGAGAAGTCGCCCGCTTGCGACCACGTGACCACGTGCTTGTACAGTGATCAACATGGCAAAAGGAGGAAAGTGCCAACGCGCTCAATTGGGTCCGGCCATCCCCGTCCCCATCTGGCTTCTGGCAGTTGGTCGCGGTTACAGATAGAGCCGACGGCTTTGTGAACCTAGTACGGATGTGCCACTAAAACTCCGTATAATAAAAGTTTTGTCGATCATACCAGGTTTGTGACGCATTCACATTTATGTTGGAACGACAAGATTTATAGAAAAATTACCTTTTATTGAGCAGGTAGTTGCACAACTTGCTATCTTTTTACAAGTCCTTTATTGACGTCATGCCGCGTGGTTTTCATGGCCGTCGCTCGCAGCTGCAGGTCTGGAAGTGTTCCAACTTTTGCTTCGTGATTATGCGGCGGAATCGCAACATCTCAAAAGAAGTGTTTTCTGTCCTTTGTGACAAGATAAACAGTGTCAAAAGTAGAAGATGCAAATTCTTTCAACATTAAAATCGTTGCACAGCTCCTTTAAATGTTGACAAACATACATGCAAAGTGCCATTTATTTTAAGTTTTTGCTTCAGAACAGTTAGTGCTTTAGATGCCAACCTGTGCAGCACACGTAACCCTGCTCGCGACAGGCTTCTTGCTGCTTTGGTAATTCAGCGAAATGTCTATTGTTTAATGATTTTTTGATTATGGGAGAAGTTTTGTGGAACGGCTGGCTGGTTCCGTTCTACGTCACCAATGAGAAACTGGAGTCACTCTGGAGTTACTCTTTACAGGACACCCCTGATGCTTGCCGTGCTGAAGGGCCACGTCAACTGTGTGGAGCTGTTGCTGAAGAGCGGTGCTTCGGTGGACCTCGCGGATGAGTCCAAACGGACAGCGCTGTTCTGCGCGGTAAGTCTTGGTTCCTCTCGTGAGACCCTGTCTCATTGGGGCCTTTGGTGCTCCAGCATTTGAGGCTGCCATTATACTTGGAAGTGCTGGCTGGTGTGCGTAAGACACCAAGAAGCTTGGCACACGCAAAGTGTGTGCCTCGGGTTTTAAAGGCCCTGTCACACTGAGGTAACAGTTGGACAACCCTATCCGGCAACACGAGGATATCATGTTGCCAACGATCCTGTCATATCACGGCAACAACAACACTTGGGCAACATGTTGCTGCTGTTCGGCAACCGTGTTGGCCGATTTGTTGTGCGACCACCCTGTCGCTCCGCACTGACGGCGGGGACAACTCGGGGAACACTGCCATCTTGATTGTTTACATTAGTTTGTGTGCGGCTCGGCGTTGCTGGAAATGTGACTACAAAGTGCTCATGCATTCGGAGGGCCGGAAATTACCATGGGATGACATCTACCTGTGACTGTGATTAGAAAGCTTGACATGGGGTGTATTTTCCATACTTTCTTTTATTAAAATGTTCTTCATTCGCTGACAAAGATGATAGCCCTAACCGAGGAAAGAGAGATCGCTGATATACGTTAGGAATTTATGCTACCATATGAGGTGTTCATGTCTGGTTCTTTCGTTCATGCAATTCATATTTCTACTGTAAAATTGATTTAGCACCAGCAGCAACCCAAAGCATCTTTTGTAACGTGGTGTTGAGCTGAACTGACAGTGCTTATAAACTGCGACACCGACACAATCACCTTTTATAACAGTCGGTGGAATAAGTATTTTTCATTGCTGTCTATTTGTCTACCGCCTGCTGTGCGATCGCTTCATTCCCCAAAATGTCCGGGGTATTTTTGAAGCAAATCAGGTGTCTGGTAGCGGCTGTTTCCAAGTACCAGGCATCAACAATCATAATCTGAGTAATTGTTTTAATGCTTCGATTTTTTTAATTTTTGCATTCCTGGATTATTTTTATTATACTTGAGCAGTGTGTGAGCAGGCATGCCATTTTATTTCACTACAGTTGAACCTCGATTTAACGAAGTCACCGGGACCCGCTAATTATTTCGTTAAATTGGGAACTTTGTAAAATCGAGAAATGGAGACCTTGCATATAGGCTGCGTGGGGAATCCGAATTTGTTCGTTAAATTAGGACATTCGTAAAATCTGGTTTCGTTACATCGAGGTTCAACTGTAGCAGTAATGTGATCTGGTCTCGCAGCAGTGGACTTCTTCCAAAACCGACGCGCCCCAATGCGGCGAAATACCACGCAATGCACGCTGGGAACTAGTTGGCCACTTAGTTTCGGTTTCGAGTGAGCAGGTTCATCTCATGTTATCACACCGCGACCGAACGCGCTGATTGCGTTTTCGATTATCTGACTTTTTACGAATGCACAATACACTCATTCTCGAGCGATAGAAAACGAAGACCGGGGCCTTTTCCTTGGTTCCCTAAACACCGGATATTGTGCGTGCGTATGCAAACGTAGTAAGACGTGGCTTAGTCACCTCACCCCACGAGTGCATCTTTGAGCTCAATGTCAGTAATCCCGTCTAGTACTAGTGAACTACAACTGAAATTTGGTCACCTTGAGCCCTACACGTATTTTGCTTGCCAAACGTCCGCCTCTTGTTACTTCTTTGGGCGAAAAGCAAGCCGCATCTCACAGAATTATCACAGTTGAGCCCAGCGTTGGCGCATGAACTTTTAAGGAAACGCAATAAATTCGACCTCACTGCTGCACAAAAGTTACTATGATGTCTTCCTCGTGTCATCACATACCTCACATTCAAATTTTGTGCTGATAAAATATTAAGTTTTCGCAAACACTGAGATCGGCTTGCTACGACGGAGGCCCTAACAAGCGTCCCCTACTCCTCGGTAAGCCTTTTTGGGCGAGGTTTCCCTGTCGCCCTGTTCTGGGCCTGAACGGTGTGTCTGAAATTATCTCGGCATACTCAGTCAGGAAGAAAGCAAACTCATAACAAATATTATAGCCATTAGCAACCGTCAAATGCGCTTTGAATAATTTCGTTCGTTTGGCGCACCGCATAAAAGTTCATGCTAGTCCGGCGCACTTCCGGCGAACGGTGCGACATTCTACAGACAAGTGCTCGACTTTTGCTTTCTTAAAACGGTTTGCATGTGCGAATGTGTCTATATGATTGCAGGACAACTTATGCGCATACGCGATGTTGAATATTAGTGGAATGCTTCCAAGCGGGTGGAAACTTCACTTCGTGCAGTGCTGCGGGGCAGTACAGGTAAGAGATCAGAAGTGTGTTCAAATGGAGCTTTTCAATGGCGCCTCCGAGTTTTACCTCGCGTACTCAGGCGTATTAAGAAAAACAGTAATCGCAAAAAGTTATATTTCGTCTATGGAAGCACGAAACAAACTTCCTGATCAACATTACTAATGTAAAGGCTCGAGCTAGATGTATGCATACTTATTGGTTGCTACAGCTTGCTGATTCGCAGGCAAGCAAGATCCCCGAGCTTCGCAGCGCCGAAATTTCCAGCATTGGCTCGTCCACATACCTCGAAACGTTAACAGAAAGGCTCAAGTACAAAAATACAACAAGCATCCATTAAGACATGCTATACGTCTCGGGCTTCTGCTAAAGCTTCGAGGTCTGTTCATTTACGTTAGTTTAGGGACCACAAATTACGCTCTCTAGACCAGAAAGCATCAGATAACGGCCGTTAATAATGCACGCTCTGTGTGTGACCTCTAGTCGACATGTTGATCGAAACCGAAACCAGACCACTCTCCTCCCTGGCCAACTAGTTCCCAGAGTGCAACGCGCGCCGTGTTGCATGCCGGGCTTTATGGAAGTAGTCTGTTCTAATTTCAACACCAGTCTGAACGTTCACGACCATAGCTGTGACCATTTCGACAATCGCTTTCCGTAATTGTGCAGTGAAAGCATTCATCAAATTATTTTAGTTGCACGCCAGCCTTAATTATTGTTAAATAACGTTTTCCAAGTCTCTATTTGAGTAAGACGTCGTTGATAGGAAACTAGCTCTGCCATCAAAGCTTTGTGTGTTGTGTTGCTAGCCCGAACTTCGCTCAGCCAGCGATCAGAGCAACACGTTGTCCAACACAAGTTGCTGCTGTTTTTGTTGCCAAAAGCTGTCATACTGTGGCAACATTTTCGTTGTCGTCCATGTTGTGCTGCTGTTGCCGTGATGTGACAGGTTTGTCGGACAACACGGGGAGCGAGCAACAAGTTGCGCGACTGTTAGACAATGTGTTGGGTTGCTGTTGCCATCGTGTCGCCTCAGTGTGACAGGGCCTTAAAGGGGAGGTGCAACGATTATAAGATTAAAAGAATTTGCATCTCGTCATTTTTACGTTGTCTATCGTGTCCCGGAGGGTAGAGAAAACATCTCCTTCATTAAAAGTGTCGCAATTCCGCTGCATAATCGCAAAGCAAAAGTTCATCTTTTTCCCCCACCTGAAGCCGCAAGTGGCACCCGAAGGAACTGTGGCGAAAAGATAACGTGACCTCGCTTGGTTCTAGGCTACAGCGTAACGCCCGCTTATGTCAGGAGAGAGAGGGAGAGTAAGCGTCCTCCAGGAGAACGCATGGGAAGCTACACGGCACTCCGAATGACGTCACTAGGAGGGGGACCAGGTGTGACCCTGAGGACTGGGAGTGAGTTGAGGGGTGGTAATATTTATCTTTTTTTTTTTACACAATGACTAGGACACACAAGTGAAATCTGTTTTCTGTTCTTTACAGAAAACTAAGGGTCAGAGTGCACCTTTCACGAATGTTTGACCGAAGTCCGGAAACCGAAATTTGGATTTCAGAAAACAATGCAGGAGCGGTAGGCGGGACTCTAAAATCCCTACAACACCACTCGCAAGGCAATACCTCGAATGTACGGCCGTATTTTTGGAAAAAAAGGTTGAGATTGAACGAGACCAAGGCGCATGACATCAACATATGTCGTTTCATCCAGCCTCTTTCCATTGCCCTCAAGGCAGCAAGGCGGAGAAGACGCGAGGCCGTTTCCTCTCTCTCTCGACTCTTCTTGGAGAAACATGACGTCAACATAATTGCCAAATACGCCTCTTTTCTTTAGAAAAATATGGTCATCCATTTGAGGTATTGCTGTAGAGTGATGTTTTGGTGTTTGTAGCATCCCATTGCACGCTTCTGCCGCCGTTTTTTGTGGAATCCGGATTTCAGCTCAGCATCCCTCTAAGGCGATAGCTTTGTGTGGGACGCCTCCACAAACCTTGGTTGCTCGTGCTGGTGTTGGTCGCACCGTAGCAAGGCCATGAGAGAAGGTGTCAGCGACTGAGCGGAGCTGTTGGTTTGACGTTGTAGCCCCTGCCAAGAGTGCGGAACATAATGGCCGACGTCACAGTGTCACGTGACATGATTGTGTCATGTGAATTCGGTGTCGCACACCGTCGTGGTATTATTACTGCTAAATTTAGCAGGAAAATGTCTGGCTAAGTTACGGTAGAATGCGCTGTTGATTAAAAACCCATCAAGTGCGTCACACCTTCGTTGCAGTTGATAGAATGCCTAAACCAGACAATTTTTTTACCAAGATACATTCTGACTGGGAGTTGCAGCTTGCTTGGTATTTTAGAGGTGGATGGCACTGTGCTTGATATCCAGTGTTGGGATGTACTTAACCATAAAATCCCAAGCAAGCCCTCTCTCAAAACTTGGAGATAATCATATAAAACTGGGGGATGGGTGCTTAGGTCAACAATATGTAAAGATATGTGCTTCGTGTATTTTGTGAATGTTACAAACTTGATAGATGGGAGCTTATTGTGGAATGGGAGGATGCTCGGTATACTATGGTAGGTTTAGAAAACTTGCACTTTAATGTACATTTTCCGAGTATATACTTGAACTTTACTCAAAAGTAATATATCTTCTGGTACTTTCCGAGGAAAGTACAACTCCCGATTCTAAAGTAGACACCCGAAATCCGGTCTTGCTAAATTCGTGTCATAAATAGATGCTTTGTCAACGAATAAGTGCCCTGTAAGTTGATTGTGCTGAATAGTTTGTTAGTGAGGGTAAAACAATTAGTACTCTGTGGCCACTTGACTCTATCCAATATTCGCCACCATTTCCAAAAATAACTGACGCACCCCCGATTACCTCCCAGGCAATGCATGCCAGTTAAAGAAAATGCTGTGGCAGTTTAGGGGAATGCAAAAGCATCACGAAAGATGGTGTTAAAAGGTACTTGTACTTTACATTGAAAGTACATTGTATTTATAGTAATTTACTTAAAGTACATTGTGCCCAGTGTACTTGGCACTTGAAGTTCATAGCCTCTCATTTACTTCGAGTTTACTCCAAATACTTTGTAGATATACTTAACCCAACACTGCTGATATGCCCTGCCACATGCTGTTGAACCCCGTGGCACGCTGCAGGATCCATACGTAGACGCACAGGCACCAAGTGTGCTCAACGTGCTGCAGGGGCCGCATGTGTGAATGGCTGCAATACCCCAAGTATTTTTTGACACAAAATCACGTAGTGTATAAGGGGTGACTAATGGTGTCATCATTACTGTTTCCTCTTATTGTGCCGTTATAGTAGTCTGGGTACGCTCGCCGATGCAGCTGAGGAAGTGCTGGAGCAGTTGGGAAATTGAGAGGTCGTTTTTCTTCAGGCGTTCAGCGGGAACGAGCGCTGCGCACACTTGCTGCTGAAAGCGGGGGCCGACATCCTGGCGCGAGACGTGTTGGGAAAGACCCCACTGCACATTGCCGCGGCGGTTGGGAATGCGGTTGTCCTGGCGTCTCTGCTGAAGCAGTGCAGCGACGGCGACGGCTGCGACGCCCTCTTTGATGCCCAAGGCTTCACACCCCTCCACTGGGCTTGCCAGGGCGGTGAGTGCAGCTCCCAGCGATGCGATTGCTCTACCAAACTGCGCCAAGATGCTTACCCTGCTACGTCCTCTGCTACATTTTTCCACACTGTGAGGAGTTTGTGCCAGCATTGTGCCAAAACCTATTTTCGCTTTACAGTAAACTCGCTATAATTCACTTGGATGTTTTGTACTTCTGGTTATTTCAAACAAATTTCCAAATTTCGATTGTCTCGTTACGTTTTTATCTCCTTAAGTGCCATATGTTTTTTTAATAAAAAAGCAACCTTAAAATGCCATATATTTTGTATTAAAAAGTTTTAGTCCTCTAGTATAACAGATAAAATTTCAAAAGTTTTATGCAAAAATCAGTGGTGGCGAAAAAAAAAAGCGCCAACTAAAACGAGTGTTGCCATCTATGATCAGCGCCACAAACTACTCGGATGAGCTTAGCTCGTCAGTGGTATTGAGGGCTACCGTAAAAGCCACTGGACGAGCTGAGCTCGTCCTTGGCATTTTTAGCCAGAAGGCGGCCGACAAGCTCAGCTCATCCAAGGAACTTAAAGGGTTAATGTATTCATAAGCCGCTTAGTTTGAACGGCGTTTTCGTGTAATTCATACTTTTGGTTCCCATGGCTCCCGTTGAGTGCACTTCTTTCTGAGCACCAGTGCACTGCACAGAAGCAACACCCGCAGAGCTTGCTTCTACAAGTGTTGCTTCTCCACAGTACACCTGTGCTCGGTGAGAAGCCCACTCAACAGGGCTCAAACAGGGCAGAAATGAGCTATGAAAACGGGCAGCATGCAAAAATTCTATGGGAACTTGCGCAGAGGCTGTGATGTGGCGGCATGGCATAGGTCCACGTCACAGCGTTCGCACGATTTGCTTTGAAAACTTCGGCACGGTGCCCGTTTTCATTGCTCAGGTGTTACCTGCTTAATAGTTCACATTAGACAACTTCTTGGTCTGATGAACAAACTGAACTTTGTTTTGAGTTGTCATGTGATGTCTAAACAGTCCACAATAAACAAAATTTTTGAGGGATAAATAAACATGTCATACATTTCAGAAATGTTTCATGTGCGGCACACCCGTTTATGACCAGTAGGCCTATGTAGAGGAAATCATCAAACAGAGTAAACTCTCAATTGAGCGAACTTCAAGGGACCCAAGGAAATAGTTCACTTAACTGAAAGTTCACTAAACTGAATATATTCACTAGAATACGGAACAGCATAGGGCACAGCATAGGGCGAGTCAAAAGTGTCAAGTGCAGTTTACGAAGTCATGTGCATCGATATATACAAAGTGCATAACAGTTACGTTGCTACCTTTCTCACTTTGAAAAAAAATGTATAGTAATTTTTATTTGCACCGGCACTCCTGAAGCGCATGAAGTAACAAAGCTGTCCAGAGAGTCTGTTTTTTTTGCACTTCCTCTGTCACAGCTTGTTGCTCTGACGAAGCCATACCGCAACGTCATCGTCCACTGGCTTGAAATATCCCGTGCAGAGTCGTTTCCTGTTTGGATTGAACGCAGTTTCTCCTTCAAGCTTCGACTTTTGCTTCACTACCGTTGACAACGTCGACGGTGGAATCCCATAGTCCTTTGCAACGTCCACTTGCCTTTAACCGTTGTCCAGACGCTAAAGGATTTTGCGCTTGTCTGATAGAGACAACCGCTTTAGTTTTGTCGTACTCATTACGAAAGTGGGCCCACAAACTGCTGTCCTGCCATTGTTACCCAAAACAAAGATGGCCGAACAGAACCGATGACAAAGAAAGAACAGACGCACCACGTGGATGACAGAAAAAAGTGACACACCACGCCAGCACTGCAGAGCACAAAACTTTGTTGAACTGATTGCAAGAGTAATCTTGGGTCCGCTAATCAAGTTTGTTGAACTGAAATATTTGCTACTCCGAAATTCGGTAATTCGTTTAACTGAAACATTTTTGCATAGAATGCATAGAAAAACTGCCAGGGATCTTTTTAAAGTTCGTTATTCTAAAATATTTGTTAAACCCGACGTTCGCTTAAAGGGTAACTACTAAGAAAACAGTTTTTTTTAAGCAGCCTAATTGGGTCAAGCATGTCAAAAAACAATTTTTCCGTGAGAAAAAAAAAATTTTACAGCAATATTTATTGCGTGAGACCGATTTTAGTTTGCGGCTATTTCGTCCGTTTTGAATCGCGCACCACGAAGTTGGTATTCCGCGACGTTGAATACCATTCGGCTGCTGTACTTCTCATTGGCTAAGAGTTTGATTGACAGCTTAGATCTTGGTTGTTAAACCTGTTATATGTTGCAATTTTCTTTTGAAAGGCATATTTTTACGTTTAAAGAATAACCCATGTGATGAGAGTTGTTAATCTTTACAAAATGTTTACAAGACGGGCACTTCCGTTTGAATTCATACCATACAAGGATGTTAGAAGTACTAGGAGGGGGCACGTTGCAATATTGGTGAAGCCTAGTCATAAAAAGTTTAAACGATTTTGTGCCCAGCGTGACCACAGATCTTTCTGGCGATTGGTGCGCGTGACATGTCACGTGTGAGATGGATGGTTGATATTAGAAGGACTCCTTGCAGGCTTGCGCGCGCTCCGTCCAGTAGGTTTTATCAGATCAAAGGCTATACTGTGGTGTATTCTAGTACCCCATAGCAAGACGAAGGCTAGCTACGGTCACGTGATGTGGTCACGTTGGCATGGTAAGTGAGGAGAGTAAGGCCGTAATGCACCAAACAGAACGAGATCGCCGATACCAACGCAGCGCTGTCGTGAACCTTGGCTTGTGGTTGCGCACTCGTGGATTCTGCGACTCCCTTTGCTTTCAAAGCACGCACGACGATTACGAATGATACTTTCCATCTTCCGGGAACATCACAGGGTCACGTCTTCGCTACATGTGCTCGCAAACCGCGTCAAACCAAAACAATACCGCTGCCGTGCGTTGTTGCCAGATCTTACCGGAAGTCGTGACGCTGCGTCGTTCAACTCCGCAACGCAAGGAGAGTGAGGGGCGGGGCGTACTCCTCTTCCGCGGGGGTCGAAAGAGCGGGAGTTTCAAATATGGAGAGGTTCTGACTCCGACTAAATTACATCCTGTGGCATAAATATTGATAAAAAAATATTTTTTTTTCGCGGAACATTTGTTTTGTGACATGCTTGTCCCAATTAGGCTGTTTAAAAAAATACTTTTTTTTCTTTGCAGTTACCCTTTAAGTGAGAGTTTACTGTATCTGCTTTGTATTTGTAGCCATTCATATGGCAAATCACAATTTTATCTTGCATTATAATTAGATGAATTTGTGATCATTCAAACAAAATTTGTGGCTTCCTGGAGTTGGAAATAATGAGAGTCTACTGTACTACAGTCGTTGACCGATTTTTCGGACTCGGAAAGGACCCCGAAATCGTCCGAATAATCATGCGGCCCGAAAAATCAATTTTAGCCAAAATATCAAACTTTGGCTGACTTTCCACTTGCCTGATGTCAATTTTAAGTTTTCATGCAACTTCCGCTTTATATTGTTCACTTTTCACCTGTTTGTTGATCTGCTTGATCACAGTGCTGGGCTGTGTCGGCGTCTTTTTTGGCACAAACAGCGAAGTTGAAGTTGGCACCATTCGGCACAATTTGGAGACAATGTTTAGTCCACCAAGCTCGCTTTAATAGTAAGTCTATCGGCAAAAAACCTTCACGCTCAAAGACCACAAAAACGGCAGACGGCCGCTCTTCTCGCGGTCGCACTCGAAAAACACGGACCATGAGAAGAACTGGAAGAACCGTAAGAATCGGCAGACGACGGCCATGTTGGCCATAGCGGAACCGGAAAACCCGAGTATGGCCTCAACCCAGCTTGTTTATTGCGTAAGACGTGGTATCGAGGCTACAGGGCAAAATCAAAGCAACCAAAATGGCAATGACTGAGCTCGCGGCGCTATTGCGGCGGCTGTTTTGTGGCTGTAAACTGAAAAAGTCACGCAAATTAGGTCTGAAATATCGAGCAATAAGCTTTATGGCGTCTGAAATTTCGGTCAATGTTATACATTAACTCTATGGTGTGAGTGACGGTTCGGCGAAAACTTGCGAATAATCGGCGTCCGAGAAATTGGTTGGCGACTGTAATACAGTGAATACAGAAAATTAAAACTAAATTAGATAAAGCAACTAATGAATAATGTAAGCACGTTTTATTAAATTCTTCTAGTTTTTTTTTTTTTTTTCTTTTTAAAGAAATTACATATTGTTTGCATGTCGATTTTTCTTATGAAGTTTTGCTTGCAAAATGTCATAGATCTTCATAATGAAATAATGAAGACTGTATTTTATCTAAATTAAGAACTGCAGTTTTATTACAATTTTTAGAACTTAAAGAAAACATCATTTTGGGTACTCAAAACTATTGTATTCTAGCATTATTTCAGTGGACTATGCTACTTAATTTAAGTTTGATTTCACACCGAAAGTAATCATGCATAGCAGGTAGTACTGCCCTTCAATCAGCATCTTGTTACTGTGCCTTGTGCTTCTATGTGCGATGAAACTGCTAGCTAGGGAATCTAGCCTGCCGTGTTCTTGATGCCATGAAGAGCTAAGGTTGAAGCCTGGGCGAGTTGGTGTGACATACTTAAAAGGTTAAAACAGCGCAAAAGACAACGGACAGGGTAAAGAAGGATACAGACAGCGCTCTGTGTCCTAAACACATACATCTTAATGCGTTAGAACTTCTGATTGGGCGAGTTGGTTGTTCATGTTTGCCAACGTTGCAGTGCACTTGTGTGCCTGAAAGCTTGAGTGAGTTTTTTTAGTGCGCTGCAACGTCAACAAACATCTTAACATGATATTCACATGGTACGAATGAAAATGCAATGTGTACTTATGCTCAAAAAGTACTTTTTGCTGCTCTACAATGGAATTTTGGATCCCCCAATATTGTGCTCCAAAATAACTCGAACCAGTCGCATCACTGAGCTCCTCATTTTAATTTTTGCTTAGAACCGCAGTTTTCTTCATGTGTGCGCGAGCCGGACAACAGCCTTTATTGAACCTGCTAGTATTTCTGTTGTTAAAGTTTACTTGAAAGTGATTGTTTATATACTGTAAACACTTTAATTTTTTAGCAGGCTCAATATTTTGCAAGTTTTGCGAGGTGTCGGTTTCACATTTTTCGAGCACGAGATTTTGCAGTTGGGAGTGGCATGCTAAGTATTTGTTGCCATGTGATGATGTGTTCACCCGATCAGTTTTTCAATATATTTTGCAAATCGCAAAATTTGGGAAAATTAAGTTGTTTTCTGTACATACTTTGTTCTGTTTTTGTAACTATTCTAGACATGTTATGGCTGTTCGTATATTTTGTTAATTAATATTATAAAAAAAGAAAAGCAGTGAGTTGTGGGCTGGCTGGTGGCGGCCATCCACCATAGTTTTGGTCCAAAGTGAGCACTAATATGAACGCAATATCAGCTTTGTGCTGGTCTTTCTTGTTTGTTTCTTCTCTCTCGGGGTAGCCATGTCTTCTCAGTAGTTTCATTGATGGCCACGCGTGCACGATCATACAGAGTGTAGCACGAGAAAGAAGTTACGTTATGCAGTTTTATCATTTGTGCTTGTTGCTGTCGGTTTGTTGACTGAAATGAATGAAAATCGTTAGAGACACCTCTAAAGCTCGCTCATGTTTCTGATTGCAGGCCACGACTCTTGTGTGAACCGCCTCCTCAAACATTCTCGAACAAACAAGTTTTATGGGAACTCCTTCAGCCCCCTCCATTGTGCAGCGTAAGTGTTTAGCTTTCTTCCACTGGGAGCTTCTCAGCATTGTGCCCGTTCTAGTAATGTGCGTCTATACTTGCCCGTGGCAATGACTCTCTCCCCACTTCCCCCGAAAGTGAGCTTGCTGTCTTCCGTAGTGATGCCCAGTAGATGATTTCTAAATTCTCAGTGACTACGACTTTATTAAAAAAATAATGTCCAATTGATTCTTGCACTTAAAAAGAAACCTTGCGAGAGTAAACTGCCCACAATGCTAATAAACTGGTTATTTAATTTTACAGCAGTTTGGTGGAATAGTTTGATAATTTTATTCGCTAGAATTTCCGAAAGAAAATAGCTATTGTAGTTTCATTGCTTGAGAAACACTTTATTGTTCGCAAGAATGCTATGTTCTCTGATCACCTGGGCTATCTATAAAGTGGGCATTGCTGTGCATACCCACTTGTTTTGCAAATATTGTGCACTTTTTAAGAATAGGATATCATAAAGGGTGTTTGAAATATATATATATAGTTTTTTTTTTTTTTTTATTCAACTATGAATATTGAGTTGTATGTCTAAGCAGACTTTTGTGTGGTGCTTTCCCATAGCTTGCCAAAAGTTGCTTTCTAACAGTCCCATATTTTTGACTGGAGCTTGGCAAGCTCGTCTAAAACATGCTGCAGTAATTGTCCGTCGTTCTAACGCTCTCTGCTTTTCCGTGTGTGTTTTTGCATGGCACCGTGCTCCGACTGCACCGCAGAATGCACTTTTTGGTAGTGGTGGCACCATTGTCGACTAGCCGTTTCACCGCTGCTTGTACGCTGTGTAGCCGCGAATTTGTGGTAACTTCATACAAACAGAACCCGCATGTTTGCGTTACCACGTGTCATGTGGAGTTCCAATCATTGCCATTTGGGAAAAGAAAACGTCGAAGGGAACGGCAAGGCTTGGATAATGTCTAGACCTGAGAATGCCATCTCGGCTGTACTTTTATATCCCAAGAGATGCTCCACCCCCAAAAGATAACCCGCCCCCTGTTTTCAATACAATTTGCCATTTAAAAAAAAACGCCCAAGAATAGGTTGTTTTTAGTAATTGCTGACCTTTGCAGAAATGGTGTTACTTCGCCGCGACGGGAAATAAGCGAACATTGCTGACTGGGAAGGACGGCCGTCTTTGGTTCGTTACCCCGTCCCTGCAATCACAAGTTTCATAGCTCACAAAATCTAAAGCTAAACATTTTTTTTTACTTCTATTTCATTTGTTTTTGATTTTAGGTGGGCCATTTCTCAGGACATTACGGTAGTCACTGATAGAATGGGAACGGCAGGGGTGCGTCTTGAATGTTCGGCCTCCAGTTGCACACCACGCCCTTCGCCGCGCGTGCGCGTGTGCTGGACGGGCACGGGAGGGCGGCGTCGTCAAAGGCAGGAAGCTTGCACTTCAGGTGAAATGACTGAAGCTTCTCCCTGCCGCTCTTGCCTCGTCAGTTATGAGACGTTTTGGCGGCTCCACCGCACGGTTCCACCCCGTGGCATCACGACAAGGACTATCATTGGCCAGTGACAATTTCGATGGTGCGTGTAAAAAGCGCGACAGGAGCTCGAAGTCGTCGCATCCTTGAACCAACACCGTCAAAGTTGACAGTTCCGTATTCCTCTCGTCTCCATTAACGAAAGTAGAATTCACCATACTCAAGACGTCGTAGCGAGCTTTCGTGCGATCGCGGAAGGCCGACCTTGGCGACTCAGTTGGTCGAGGCTGCCGCCGGTGGGGACATAGCCCAGTGCAAGCCCTCGTCTTGAAGTCATACGTTATCAATACCTCCGCATTTGCTGGTCTCCTCTAAATAGCAGTGGCGGACTCCTGACATACCGTGTGGGAAAGTGGAAGGGAAGGTTTTCTTCCATCGAGGATTGCTTTTTTCTTGCTTTCTGTCGAGCAAACTTGGTCATTGAAGTTTAGATATTTTACTTGTGGGGATGAGTTCTGCTTCTGGGAGAGCTTGAGGGCAGCGTAGCATTGCTTTTGTGCCGGGCACCGTGCACTGCTGATGGGTCAGCAAAATGGGAATCATGTATGCTGGGCAATTTGCCGATCAGCCTTAGGTGGGATAGCGTGGCTTGCCGCATGTTTGTACACGCAAAGGGCAAAGTCGCGTGGCGTAATTTCAACGGTCGGTTTTAGTCAGTGCGGCGCATAGCTTCCGATCCACAGCATAGCGTGTGCACAAAGGTGATCATACAGGGTTGTTGGTGATAGTGGGCAAGGTACGTTTGCCACTCCTTTTCAATAAAACTTGTTCCACCGTGATTTCAACATTGATACCTAACTGCCGTATTATTGGTGTTATGAGCTGGGGGCTCAGAATAAGTAGGAGTCCAGGGAGTTGATTTCATTGGTCTTTGTCGATAGTTTTTTTTTTTTGGTATCCAGGGCCTACGCTTACGATTGTCAATGAGGGAAAGGGAGTGATTAGCTGCGAGGGGGCTTGAATAGGGACGAGATTTCACACTTCCATTGTCTTTTGCCTCAATTTTTGTTTTTCAAAATAGTTGGCATATTGTTACAAATTAAATAAAGTTTAGAGAGTAAATTATGCTAACCATTGCCTTGATTAAATTTTGGATTCAAGCTTTTTAGTGCTGGATTCTGAGTTTGAAGTGAATTTTCAAAGCGAATGGTGGCTTTAGCAGAATACTTTCTGATAGAATATTGATTATACTAGATTCTCCAATCCTTTCACTACCGTGCACCATACTTAAATGAAAATTCATATTAACTCTTGAAGGTTGTTCCAAACCTTCCACTTGTCCACTTTCGATCTCAGCAAATTTTAATACAGCTACCGCAAGGTCCCGAATCTGGGTGAAGGCTTTAAAGTGACCGCATAAGTCGACTTGGTAACGTATTGCACTTCGATTTACCACAGAGGTGCCTAATGGTTGCGGAAGCTTCACATCAAAATTTCAAAAAACAAATATGCCTAAATAAAAAAGTAAAAAAAAAAAAAAAAAAGCTAAATCGTTTTCCTATTTACGTTGCCCATCCGCTAATCGTACACTCTCCAACTGGCGCAAAAACCGACAGATGGTGGCCCCGGCAACTTATGATGGCTCAGCAGCCGCCCGGTAGCTCCAAAACCAGACAATGTGTTGCCCAAATTAATCCCCAAACCATTAGTTTTATTTGTTTTGTGTCAATTTAATGTGTTTTATTGGGAACGAAAAAGAAATTGTGCACTGACCATTATAGCACGGAAAACGCGCACATCGTTCATGATCCGAAAACGTTGTCTGGTTTTGGCGTGACTGGGCGGCTGCCTTTAGAGTGTCTGCATTAAGTTTCCAACAGCTCGATCGGTGTCATCTAGTTTATGGGCTGCATTTGCAGCACGACCCGTGGGGAGGTGCCGAAAGCGTCCATTGTCTGCAAACGTCTCCACCTTTCCGCCTGCTCTCCTCCTCGCCATGCGAAAATGCAGCACATGCGACCGATCTCTCCGCAGGAGGCGTCCGCCATTAAATTGCAAATGCTCTCCATGGCTGGAGATAGACCTTTTCTTCAATCTAGGGGCTCTAGCTGCCGTAAGCTACCGTTGCCACCTTCTGTTGCTCCAGTCGGGGGGTGTACAGTTAGCAGATGGGCACCTATAGGTAGAGAAAACAAGTTATTGTGTTTTTACTCGGGTAAGTTTGTTCTTTTAAATTTCGATGTGGTACTTACACCGCCTTCAGGCACCCCTGTGGTAAGTCGTTGCGCGATACGTTACCCAGAGCCCTATATACTGGGAGAGTTTGGCCGATGGGCAGAGCCTGTCGCCCGCTAGAACAAGCTGGCTTTACGATAACACAGAATGGAGGATTTTGCTTTTGGCCGTTTTACTCCGCGTGCACTAGTCCAAATGCGCGGCTGGTAGTTGTTTTATTGGCACAATCTCTTGTACTCTGACATTTTGTTATGCCTGCAAATTGGTTACTACAATTCAAGCACTGGCCATCCTTTATTGATCTCCAAAAGCAGAACTTAGAAATAAGCTTTATTTATTTTGGTTTTGAACAAAATTATGCTTTCTCAGAGTTTGCAGTGCCTCTCCTAGATGGCGCCCGTCGCAGCACTGGATTTTCGCTGTGGTTATTTTTGAGACTTAATATTCATAGTATTCAAAATCCTCTTTTCACAAAAGAGGAATAAGTTTAAGGTCATATAATTTTAAGAGATTGTAGCAGATAAGCAAGTTTGAGCAGCTAATTACATATGCAGCGTCAAAAACACTTACATTAACGAGAAACACTCTCATTACAATAGCGGGTCACCGCATACCTGGCGTGCCTAATCCAGAGTAGGATCGAATTTCGATAACGAAATATGGGCGGAGGCGTGGTGCCACCTCCTGGTTGCCTGACTTCCAGCTGTGGTTGCTGGATTGTTGGCATCTTCAAAAAGAGTGCCAAACTCTCCTAGTATTGGCAACTCCAGCGAAACCGACGCCGCGTGGCGGCAACGCCGAGAAGCTTGGGAGAGGAGGTCGTTTCGACTCTGTCGTCTGCTATCGCTGCTTGGTTCTCGTAGGCAGCATAGAAACAAACATTGTTTCCAGTAATTTTTTTTATGCTCCCGCTTTGTCATTCCTACGCGCTGACTAAAAAAAGGTTTCTGCCGTCGAAAAATCACTTTGCTTTCATATGTAAGACCAATTTTATGCTGCAGTGCAAGAAATTTAACCCGCTTTCATCCGCCATCTTTCCTGACCAGCGCGTCCCCTATAGTTTGCTGGAGTCGCGAATAAAAGACTGACGTTACCAAACGATTTATGCAGTCACTTCGAAGGCTTCACCCAGATCTGGGACCCCGTGGTACATTTAGCAACTGAGGCGGGCAAACGACAGATTTGTCGCAGCTATCCTAATTGAGGGAATTTATAAATCTTCTTGCGGCACGCAAATATTCTTTCTTCAGCTTCAAATTTGACAAAAGAAAGAGCTAGCAGGAATGATGAATGTGAGTTGTCAAGACATCGCTCC